CATATATGTACATATATCAACGAAATAGGGTATATTTGTGGCCAAACTCCGGTTGACGTGACATTTCACACTCACTACGTTACATTCCATCACTTACGTTGCCACTATTTTTTGCTGACCTTTTTTGTTTAAACCTGGTTTTCTACACTATGCAATAAAACGTAAAAGTAGTCAATCAGGTAGAAAATTGATTCATTAATCGGATGAAATTATGTGGGCAGAACTAAGGGTTTAAGTTAGACAGCATTATTCAACGGAATAAAGAAATTGAGGAATTGGAACGATTTTTCTCTTACGTTTTATTACGTTTCAATTGCTTGACCTTTTTCGCTAAAACCTTTTTTTACACAAAATGCAAAAAAAGCAAGTATTTAAAATAAGCCAGTTAAGTAGAAAATAGATTCTTTAATTGGTTAAAACTATGTGGGCATGGCTAAATGTGCTATATAGCTGAGAATTTTCCACGGAATATCAAAAACGAGGAATATGTAAAATGGAACTTGAGTTCGTCAGTATATTTACGGTATATTTTTCGAGTAAGACGGTATGTTTCGGTATATTTCTGAGGGTCGGACGGTATATCTTATCGAAAAGTCTGCGGTCGCACTGAGTGTCAACGAAAAAAAACTAAAGAACAACAACTAGTGTGCCAGACAAGAAAAAAAGAAGATCAGAGCAGAGCTACTAAAGCGAAAACTTACCATAAGACAGATATAACAGACTCGACAAGTTGCAATATGTTTGCCCACAAATTAGTGCTGCTAGGCACAACATTGCTATTGCTGAGCAGCGCAGGTGAGTGCAAAAGAAACTACTTGAACCCGAACCCAACGGCCCCGTAGACACCCCACTCACCATTAAACTGCGTCGCACTGGAAGCCTTTGTTCAATTTGCTTATTCATCGCGAATTATTTATATTTTTTGGTTTTGCTGTCTCGCTTGTTCGCGCACGTAACCCGCTGATTGTGTGTTTGTTGTAGCTTTTATCTGTGAAAGAGTTAAAAACAAGCAGCACTGGAATATAATTAAGCGATTTACACTGCAACAAAAGTGTCGTACCGTGTGTGTTTTAGTGTAAATTGAATTATCTAGACCTATCTGCGATTGCCCTTTGGTCACTTTTTTCTCTATGCTCCTCTGACCTTAGTTTGTTCTTTGGAAAATTCCCCCCACAAAATGGTGACTTAGTACCGTTGCAGGCAAAAAGGAGAATGCCGTCAACTCTGTCTTCATCCTCCCCCCACTGCCCGCTCCTCCGGCTACCTGCATCCAAGGGTCTGAGGGAACATGAGAAATATCATCCAGATAAAGCAATTTCATTGCACCCGCTCTTTCTCTACTCTCTATCCACTCTCTTTCGATGCAGGCATATTCAATTTCTCGTCTCATCTTGTTCTCTTTCTTCTCTCGGCTCCTCCTCCTCTATTGTGCACTATATAATTATATTTGATTCACAGCACCAACCAAATTGTTATTTATTTGCTTAACTTTGCCTCATTGTTCTTCCCTTATCGGCCTTCCCTCGACGCCCTGCTATGCCGCCAACGAGGGGGCGTTTTGCGATAGATGGTACGCGTAATTCCCTTATAGCACTAATACCAATTGGTTCTCGTCTCCGATTTCCTGTGGTTTTTGTTATTTCTCAACTCTCCGACTCGTCCACGGCTAATCTGCCATGCCTATGTCATTTATTTGCATTTTAATCAGCCGCCTTATGCTGGCACACAGTAATCTGTTTGATAGTTGTGGAAAAATCGGAATACGAGCGTCTCGAGTGGCGAATGTGTAGCTGATAAGATTTGAACTACAATAAAATGCAGTGCCTTATATGTTTACATATTGTGCAAAAAATAGTCCAAAGAAAACTAGCCGGACACAATGCGGAACCAGTTGTGGATCCATTCAACCATATTATAGAGTTCCATCTCTTTTGGAAGAGCTCTCTTGGCAGCTAATTTCACTTGTGCGGTCATTGGAGTCCTTGGAGATTCATGAGATTGCTTTATTTTACTTTCTATGGACTCACCTATGTATATCCCACATAACATTTCCGAGCTATAGGCCCTCACACACCGCCAATTAGTCCACACTCGTATTCTATGCATTCTTTGCTTTTACTCTCTTCTTGCATGCCGTTGCGAAATAAATCTTATTACCACAAGCGATTTATTTTCCCATCGTTTTTCTCTGTATTAAGCGTCTGGGTCCGCGACACGCCCCATGCCAGGCTGTCTGTCTTCTTTCCGTCTCTCTGTTTGCTTGCTTAACTTGCATTTAAAGGTCATCTCTCTGGACTGCATTACAGAATGGCATTGAACTAGAACAGGGCTCAAAGGGGACGGCTGTAACCGCAGAAAGGACGGGGGTGCCACAGGGTTCAAAGCCAGTTACCAGAACAGAACAAATTTGCGTTAAAATATAATAAAAAAAACTGCCTTTTACAACAATTATTCCATTAAGATAGCGATGAATCATGCCCCAACAACTACTAAACGCTTGTTTTTCAGAGAACACATGACTGATTCGAAGGGAATGATCAAAGGGCGAGTTTGTGAGGGATAGATAAAATTGTTGACTTGCATTCGGGAACTTCAGTAATCTGTTGCCGCAGAACAGAAAGAACACTATATAAAAATATATGACAAAATTCCCTGGAATTTCGGTTCAAGCCTAAGCAAATGTTCTACACACTAGATCAAGTTATCCAACAGTTTTTCGCTCTATTCGCTGTAAATGTGTGGCCACATTTGTCCGCTTCCCTATGTTGGGTTACTTGCATTTGTGCCGCCCATCCAGCAAACGTGATTCTTTCGTTATCAGTTTTTTGCTCCAAAGCTCAAACGAATTATTCATCGAGCGGAAAGTGAGTCACCTTGGTGACAACCCAGTAAAGGCTTGATGGGGAAGCGAAACAAAGAAGATGCAATCCCAGGTTGTCTCTGTAGGTCCCCGGAATTAGTTTAAAAAGTTAGGAACTGTAATAGTACTGTACTTCAGTCTACAATGAAGATTCAGGTACAGCAGTTGAATGAACTCTAGATACCCTTTATAATAAGTACCTGAAACAAAGCGCAACAGACTGATGTAAGCCGGTACCTGCCTTTCCATAGCACTCTCCTCATTCTCTTTTGTAGCAAAACAAAAGCCAAGTCAAATATTAAAGCAGAAAGCACATGCTGATAAGATACTTTCAAGACAAAGACCTTTAATAACAACTGTCCCTTTATATTTCTTACAGTCCAATCACAAAGTTCAATTAGTTTGAAGGATGCCAATTTCCAGGAGGCACAAAAAGCTCCGGAGACCACCTCAGAAGTGCCGCTGACATCGAGCAGCAGCACCTCCACCTCCACAACAACAACAACCACTACAGCAGCACCAACAACTTCGACGACCACTGTAAAGACGAGCACCAGCTCTAGCTCCACATCGACGACAACGACGACCAGCACTAGCACCAGCACTGAACCACCAAAGACAACGACTACACCTGCGCCAGTGCCAACCACGACCCATGCCCCACAACCATATCCCGCACCCAGCGTGGGCACATGGAATGCAACCTGCATTCTGCTGACCATGGCCGCCCAACTGAACTTTACCTATGAGACCAAGGGTGAGCACCTAATCTTTCCACGAATGTTACCTTACTGAAGATTTCTCATTCTATTTTTTAAGATGGAAAGATGGCCCATGGTCTGTTCAACATACCACCCAATGCCACCATTGGGGATAGTGTGTGCGACAGCCAGACCATTCAATCCATTCAATTGAGCTGGGGACCGGTAACCTCTGTGCAATCGATGGTGATGCAGTTTGACAACAAGAATGCAACTACTGTATTGTCTAGCATCCAAATCCATTTTTCTGTTATCAGCGAGGACTACCCCGATGCCAAGGGTAAGGAGTCCTGATTTCTGTATAGACATATTTTTTAATTCTCCCTTTGCAGAGAACCAAACTCTTCAGCTGATTCATCGCGGCAGTGAGGAATTCAAGACGCCCGAGAAGATGTCCTACCATTGCACACGCCCTCAGCAGCTTAACTTGACCGAGACCGTGGATTTGAAGCCAGAGATTGGATGGCTCAGCGTTAGCAATGTACAGGCGGAGGCTTTCCGTGGGGCCAATGCCAGCGGATTCTCCACCGTCCACGATTGTGATAGCTCGGAGACCTCAGATGTGGTTCCCATTGCTGTTGGCATTGCCCTGGCCGCCTTAATTCTGGTCGTTCTCATCTCGTATCTGTGCGTACGCCGTCGATCCATCTCGCGCGGCTACATGAGCTTCTAAAGAGGAGTAGTACCCCAGCAAATAGGGCAGGTTCGAATGGGATTGAAGCAGAGTTCGAAAGAGAGATAGGAAAGCGTTTGGTGTGTTTGAATTCAGAGAGAAAATTAAGATTGATTTTGATAATTGGAAGCCGTCTGTGAGAATGTGAGGAATGATCAATTTCTTGTTTCGTGAAAAGTTCAGTTCAGTTTTGTTTTGTTTTTGTCTAAATCGTAGAACGCGCTCAAACGAGAAAGGAATAGAAAAGTGGAATATGAGGGGGAAATGTAAAAGAATTCGATCTGAAGAAGCTCTGTGTATCTGTGTCTGTAACTGTTCCCATGTAATGTGTATTCATAAAATGGTATTCTCCGCCTCCGTCTGTCGAATCGAAAACCCACTTTTCTTTATAAAGTCCCCCCTGAAATTTTAAACTTACAATAGAAGCACCCAACAACACACACGTTTTACTCAATAAATCACGTAAATTTAATTAGCGTGTGACACTCCAAAAATGTGAAAACGAACAAGGGTTCAACGCTTTTGGCTGATGCAAGGTCGTTAATTATGGTCAGTAATTATAAAGGCAGTCGAGTTTTTCCAAATAGAAGGAACATAATTTTAAATTTTCGAACGTAATATTATCAAAACACAACACAGATTTATGTATTATTGGCCTTGAAAGCGTAATAAAAATATTTAAAGCCAACATTGGAATATCTTTTGATATACATATGTATTTATTTTAAGAAACTATGACATTTAGATAGGCAACAAGCTTTCGGCATTCATCTCCGCATCATCATCGGAATCATCTCTGCTGTGTTGGCCACGAAACATGCCGGTGCGTGGACGCTCTGCTGGCGGACCCAAAGGATCAAATTGTTGAACTGCCAACAAAAATACATATCAAAAAGAGTATATATATTTTTTCTAATGGATGTATCACCTGAAAACGTGGCCGAACTCTGTCTATAAGCCATAGTACCGGATAGATCGCTGTTTTCCTGCAAACGTTCCTCATTCGATGGTCGGATAGCTACAAAAGAAACACAATTTTCAGGAGTGGAGCGGTTAAGATAAGCCTGATCCTTACTTCTCATTCGACTACTGCTTGAAGTAGCCGATGATAGACGCTGCTGCTGGTAGCGTTGCTCGTTCTGTCGCTCCTGTTGCAGCTTGTGGAGTCGGGCATAGTCCAGGGAATACCTCTCGTGGAGATCAGTGAGACCCAGGCTCTTGGTCACCTGCATCAAAGCCCGCACGCAGGTAAGGTTATCCGGAAATCGAGCATAGATCTTCTCGAACATCCCCAGATACTGCTTGGGCGGCAGATAGGAGTTGCGGAAACAGCTGGCGATACGCAGCATGAGGTTGGGGTCATTAGGATCAGCCAGAACCGCTCGCTCGTAGTAGTAGAGGGCCTTTTCCGTGGCCTGCAGCTTAATGTAGTAGGAGCCAATGGAGCTGGCAATGCTAATGTCGCTCATGTTGATGCGGTAGGCCTCATTGTAGTACTGGTTCGCCTCCTGATGGTCCTGAATCTGCTCATACATTGAGCCGACCTTCTCAAACAGACGCGAATCGATGTCGGCGGCGGATATACCCAGTACCTGCAGATACGCCTGCAGTGCTCCAGGGGTTGCTGTTGGCTTAAAGCCGCTCCCCACAATACCTGAGCCATTGCTGAGTCTTCGCTCTTGCAGCTTTGCCAGCTGATAGTAGACATGGCTATGCTGCACCGAGTGCGGCACCATTAGCTGCGCCTTCAGCAGCTCGAACTGCTCCTCTGCCTGCTGAAAGTCCTGCTGAGCGAGCGCCACCAAGCCTAGATTATAGTTGGCCTCAAAGCTTGTGGGTTGCAGCTGCAGGGCTCGCTCGAAGCGATCCCTGGCGGAGCTTAGGTTCTGCTTCTGCATATCCACAATCCCAGCATTAATCAAGGCCAAAGCATTTGTCTCCAGAGCTCCGATATCCTGCAGCTGATTCAGGCAATGCGAGGCCATCTCCAGGTTGCCCAACTATGGATTAAGCCTAAGATTATTTAGATTATGAATCAATACAGGTGTACCCTTCCCTAACTTACACTTATGTAAATGAAACTCAGGTTTGTCAGTGCACTGGCCGTCATGGATCCCTCGCTCTTGCGATCATACATCTGCAAGGTTTCGATGGCCTGATTCACATCGTTCTGTCGAAGGTAGACCAAGGCCTTGTTTAGTTCGAGTTCATTGGCCAACCAGGATAGATTCGATGTCTTGATGATCTCAATGCACCAGTTGTAGCCTAGAAAATCGATGAGTTTTGCTATATACGAGTAATTACAGCTTGGGACAATCCACACATACCATCATTGTAGTTTTCCTCAATTATAGGTGATATTAGATCCACAATCATTGTAATGGAACGCTTCTCGGCATTCCTCTTTTGTTTGGTGTACAAAGCCAGCTCATCCGTTTTGAGGGCCTGCAGAACAGAACGATTCTTTGCCTTGGCCGAGGTATTGATGGACTCTTGTACCTTCTCGTAGGTGCTGCCACCCTCGGCATCGATTACGGCCACTTCGGCACCACCACCACTGGCCTCACCATCTGTGGATTTTTGTAGATCCTGTGCCCCTGCGACTTGTCCTGCCTGTTCGGCCTGCTGTTGCAGCTTGATAATATTATTCTCACTGTCCAGATCGCTTTCACTCTCGACGGCCTGGACATCGCAAAGATTGCGAAATGCACTCTTGATCTTCTCCACATCGCCCATGGCATAGTAGCAGAGCAGCAGATGGATCCCGCTCTTGATGTCCGGCCGCTCAGACATGATGAACTCAAAACTGGAGGCAGCGTCCGAATAGGAGCCCATCCGCACGAAAAGTACGCCAATATTCTCGGTGATCTTCAGACGCAACTGGTTCAAGTTCTTGGGCACCGAATCCAAGGCCATGCGATACATTTTAATGGCTTTCGGATAGATCCCCATCTTGTAGTAAATGTTACCCATGTTGAGCTTCAGCTGATTGACATGGGGAAACATCTTGTTCTTTGTCATGATGCTGTACGTGTTGAGGGCCTCGATGTGCATATCACTGTGCTCGTATTGCTCGGCGAGATTGAAAAAGACCTGACATAGAGATATATTTACAGGAACCGGCAGTAAAAAGAGTTCAGCTCAACTTACAGCATAAGTCAAATCAAAGTTGTGATACACATTCTCCCCCTGCTGATCACGAAAGCGGTGCAGTGTTCGATCCAAGGAGAAGGCTTCTTTGGCCTTGTTTAATGCATCCGCCAGAGCAGACTTTACCTCCGGATTGATGTCTCCGCTGGCACTCCGTGAGGTCAATACAATGGATGCCTCCAGTAGCTTCACAATCTTTGCCTCTAGATTTTTGTACTTAATCTGGGGACTGAAACGCAAGTTACATTTTGATTCGATTCTCCTATATGTAATATGAAAGCATTATCCTACTTGACTTCCTTGGCTGCATCTACGGCTGCATTGGCCGAGGAGAGTGTCTGCTGCTTGGCCTTCTCCAGAAAGAACTGATCGAACCTTTGGCCAGCGGAACCACTGCTGTTGGCCGCATAGCCCACGGCCCGGACCGCAGTGGATGGTCTGGCCAGCGCTGTCTTATCCCCACCGCCTGCCCGACTGCTTACCAGATTACCGCGCTATAATGCAGGAATATTTATAATCAATGTATATTTTCTTAGGCTTAGTTTTCTTACCGAAAAGAGTTGCGAAGTGGGTGGCCGGGGTCTTCCTGCGGCTGTTGGTGGAGGCGGTGGCACTACCTCGGATTCGGGATTGGGGTCGACGGGTTGTTGTTTGTCCTGTACACTCATTTCACTTCATTTGCTGTTAAAATGTACTTTTCGAAATTCTCTCCTTGAATGAAAACAAATCAAGCGACTATCATTTGTTTGGGTTGACCGTTTCCAAGGTGATCCCAAAGCCAGAACGAGGTTGCCACCGTGGAGAGTCCTAAGGGTAGGAGAGTCCGTTTCTGTTTGAAATATTATATGGGAAGGCATATTGTCTAGTGTAATTAGAATAAGAATAAGAATCGTTAATATTTATATTTATCTAATAGTAGATGCAATTATATGTACGAGTACGAGTATATATGTACATATCATCTCAATCATTTACTTTATTTGAGGAATCAAAGAAATTATGGAATTAAACTTTTTGTTCAAATATTATACAAATATATGAAATTTACAATAAGAAATCATCATTAACAACACCCAGAAAACCAACACAATTTATATTATTGTAATTCAATTTGGGTGGCCAGGGCCTTCCTGCGGCTGTTGCTGGTATGTATATTATACAGACCTTAAAGTCGTCCCAGGTCCTTTCTTTCTATAAACCCAGCAGGTTTTCTTAGTTCATTCAAAAATACAGATTATTAAACTCCTCAGTCCCATAGCTCTATTGAGCACTATGAATCCCATTTGCCGAATTGATATTAACTTGCCCGAGTGCCAGAAATGGATGGATGATGTGTACAACAAATGTCGAGAGATCTTCAGCAGGGAAGTGGCTTCATCAGCCTGGTGGCAGGACGAAACACCGGCCATATACAAAGAGAACATACAAGCCATGACCGCCATTGATTGTCACAAGTTGAAGCGTGATCTGGCCAGAGAAGTGGCTGCCACAGGTCCAGGATCCTCGGCCCCGACAGGCCCCCGCTCCTTTCTTTGGTGGCACAAGGTGATGCTTGTCGTGGCGTATCTTCTGGTCTTTGCTGCACTTGTCTTCCTGTATCGATGTGTCAATGCCAGGTGTAGTAGACGTGAACATGTGCGGGAACATGGACATGGACATGGACATGGACAAGGACATGTGAAGATCAAAGAGGGGGCAGTAGCTATAGAGCCGGACGAGGCCCTTCGTCCCATATCTAGGCTAGAGCCAAAGGAGAAGAAGGAAAAATCGAAGAAGCATTGGTTGCGTCGCAAGTGTCGTCACGTGTTTGTTCACAGCGAAGCGGAGTTGCGTCGCCAGCAGGCCAAGCGGGAAAGGGAAGAACGAGTTCATGAGGAGCACGTCAAACATAAGATCGAGAAGTGGACCCATGCTCGGGAACTGGAGGAGCAGAAGCGACGGGACAAGAAGGAAAGAAGTAAATCGCCGAGCGAATGAAGGACAAGGCACACGTATATCACTTTAATCTGCTCCAAAAATACAGTCGTTCTATTTCCCCTTGGACATCTTCATTTTTTTGCGTTTGTTCTGCTCGCGTTCCAGGCGCATATCGTCCAGGTCCTCCTTCCTGCCCAGACGCATACTAGTGCGCTCCTCTTTCTCCACTTCACCAAAGTTGGCGTCCATGTGGCGCAAGTCCATGTCCGACTCGTCCGCAAAGCGACGCTTGTCATAGCCAAAGATTGTCCGGATGTGCGATGAAACCAATTTGGAGCTAATTTCCTCATCTTCCTCGACAATGAAATCCCGCATCTCCTCCATTTCTTCTTCGCCATCGGACAAGTTGCAGTGCTCTTTAACACCCTTAGGTTCAGCCTTTTTGTTCAGATATTTCAAGGGACCTGAGAGTGGCGACCATTGGCATTGTGGTAAATGGATCTAGAGATATACATATTCTATCTGCATAGCCTTACCATAGAGGCCCAGCCTCTCGCGTCTCTTCACCTCCTCCATGCGATTGCGTTCCCTGCGTTCGCGCTCGGCGCTTTCACGCTTCTGCTTTCTGGTCATCAAGCGGCTCATTCTGATACAAACAGGATTGATTCGATCACAACTAAAAACTAAACTTATAATAATATATTTTTTGATTGCATAGTAAGGCAAGAGTATACTTGATACGTGTACAATTGCAGTGTCGATAACAGTGTTGTTTACATATTTATCTGAAAACCTGAAAACCAAGCTATCCAGGCCAGAAGACAAATACTGCACATAAAATTGATTAATTATTCAAATTAATTCCAGAAAGGAATCAAAAAGAATAATAATAATTTATTCGATAAAAATTACGAGTACTATTGTTATGCAACACTTATCCCTCCGACATCTTTTGACAGGTCCATTTCCGGCATCTTCATTCTTTTTCTTCTTTGGCCGGCACGCACAGCGACGTGTTTTCTGCTCTTCGCAAGTAAGTTACAAAAGATTTGCTAAGTATGTATAAAATTATAAACAGAAGATAAAAAAAAACATCAAAATACTGATAATACTATTACTACTAATAATATTGTTAAAAGTTGTAACCGAAGTAAAATTATAATGCTTTCACATAAGCGCATGCGCACCCCCACTAAATTGTATACGGATGTGTGATGAAAACCAATATACATATTTAATCAAAAATACACAAATATAATATTTTGAAGTGAGATACTGTCAACATACAAAAGAGTTACTGAAAATATCAATAATAAATTAAAATTTATCCATTTTACTAAGAGGATTACTAAAGAACAAGAAGATTAAAACTTGATTAGCAGGTTAGAACCGTTTTGTGCGTGAGCGAGCTCTGTTAAATTGTGCGTGCGATCAGAAGCAAAATACAATTTTACTCAACAATACGTTTTGAATTCACATTCTGCATTGGAAAAGCAATGGAGAATAGAATGTATTTGCATATTCTTTTGTTCCTTGCTTTTCCCAAGCGGAATGAGAGCAGTCGTCGCATGAATGAATGAATATTTTGTGGCTAAATATAATATGAACACATTCAAAATGGCGATTACGGCGAGTTTTCAGCAAAATATCAAACTACAAAAGGGATTAAAAATATCAAAAATAGATTCCAAACTATGCAAATCAATATCATAATTAATAATAATATTAATAAATAACAAGTGGATTAAAAGTTTAAGAGGATAGAAGGCTGGAGCCGTTGTGAACTTTTTGAACTTTGACCCCGCTTGTGCTGTAAATTAAATGCCCAATTTGAATCCCTTGAAATTGCAATTGACTATAGCATATATTTTACCACTTTTAATTCTTAATTTAATTGGATTCTTAATAATGTGGAAACTGGCTCAAAAATACCTCCAATAGAAACGTGCGGGAACGTTCTGAGGCAGTGTATATGTGTGTGTTGCTATCTCGCTCTCCTCCGTTACATGGTACGAGAAGACTGTCTGAGAAAGAGAGAGGGAATGAATCACGCGGATGGTGTTCCGTAGCCATTGCAGTTTGATTTGTTCTTTTCGGCTATAATAATAATCCAATCCAATCCAATAATAAAAAGTTTTTGCATCTAATTTAAGTTCGTGCTATGTAGTCCCCAGGAGTATATTATGGTATTTTCTAATTCATAATGCTGTTGTTGACTGCAAAGTAAGATGTGAGTACTCCACAAAGAATGATTAAATGAAAATTAAGCAAACACTTCAAGTTTATTACCAGGACAGGTTTGTAACCGTTACTTTCCTTAACTCGTATCACAGCTCTAGCCTGGCAATTTTGCTTGAACAATACCTCTTTTTAGAAAATTTCGAGAAAAGCGCACAAGTTTCAAATGATCGAAGACAGTTTAATAAAGAAAATATTTAATTTGCATTTCAATTTAGAAACACAAATCATGTGTGGTATGCTTTAACTCATACATAACTTGTGTCTCTTAGATCAAATGTGAGTACACGACGAATTCCCAATTGAGAAGTCCCCGTTTTAAGTTTGTTACCAGGTCGATTGAAAAATTACCTATATTTAAAGAAGAATATATACAAAAAGAGTGGTGATTTTGAAAAAGAAAGTAACCGTGTTGAAGAAAATGTGTCTCCCACACAAAATGCACATTCGTGCTATATGGCAAACACTTGATTTATGTTATTTTCTAATTCATAAATCTCTTGTCTGCCATACAGCAAAATGTGTGCTCTATCCTGATGCATCCTATGCTGGCTTAGATCAGAATCTGAGTAACGACAAAGAAGTAACCAAATTTCAATTTTCTTACCAGTGTGGATTTGTAAAACGTTGCGTTTTTAAACTCGTATTGCATTTCCAATCTGGCAAGTTAGCTTGAACATCACCTGCGCTTGAGAATGATGTCTTAAAATAATAGAAAGAAAACTGTGATTTAAACATTAAAAGTGATTTTGGGATGCAAAGTACCGCAACTCAGATCCCAAATCTTTGCCGACTTTCAATTCGTGCTTGCAATCTTTTTGGCAACTGTGCTTAAAAAAAACATCCAATAAAAAAACAGTTATTTGGTGAAGAAAATACCACAATCAATACTCTATAACTTTTAAGTGCTCTGCAAATTATTCTCGTCTAATTATGATATAATTATATATATATTATGATATTTTGTAATTCATGACACAATTGTTGACTACAAAGCAAGATATGAGTACTCCACAAATAATGATTAAATGAAAATTAAGCAAACACTTCAAGTTTATTACCAGTCCAGATTTGTTAAACGTTACTTTCCTTAACTCGTATCACAGCTCTAGCCTGGCAATTATGCTTGAAAAATACATCTTTTTAGAAAATTTCGATATAAGCGCACAATTTTCAAGTGATCGAAGACAGTTTAATAAAGAAAATATTCAATTTGCATTTCACTTTAGAAACACAAAGCATGTGTGGTATGTTTTAACTCATACGTAACTTGTGTTTCTAGATCAAATGTGAGTACTCAACGAATTCCCAATTGAGAAGTCCCAGTTTTAATTTTGTTACCAGGTCGATTGAAAAATTACCTATATTTAAAGAAGAATATATACAAAAAGAAAGGTGATTTTGAAAAAGAAAGTAACCGTGTTGAGGAAAGTGTTTCCCCCACCAAAGGCACATTCGTGCTATATGGCAAACAGTTGATTTATATTATTTTCTAGTTCATAAGTCTGTTGAGTGCCATAGAGCAAGAAGTGTGATGCATCCTCATGTATCCTTAGCATGGCTTAGATCAAGATATGAGTAATCGACGAATTCTCAATTGAGTAATTCCAGTTTAAAGTTTGTTACAAGAATGGATTTGGAACTCTTTGCCGTTTTTAACATATTAGCATACAACATATTAATTTCAGACGATGATCGCTTTATATCCCTGTACTGACAAGAAGTGAGCCCTTGGCAAGATGTATGAACGATTTAAGCCCATATTTTCAGTTTTTTACCAGGTTAGATTTGCGAAACGTTGAATTTAGGTCGTATCACAATTCTAGCCTGGCAATTTTGCTTGAAAAATACCTCCTTTTAGAACATTTTGAGATAAGCGCACAATTTTCAAGTGATCGAACAGTTTAATAAAGAAAATATTTAATTTGCATTTCAATTTAGAAACACAAATCATGTGTGGTATGCTTTAACTCATACATAACTTGTGTCTCTTAGATCAAATGTGAGTACACGACGAATTCCCAATTGAGAAGTCCCAGTTTTAATTTTGTTACCAGGTCGATTGAAAAATTACCTATATTTAAAGAAGAATATATACAAAAAGAGTGGTGATTTTGAAAAAGAAAGTAACCGTGTTGAGGAAAGTGTTTCCCCCACCAAATGCACATTCGTGCTATATGGCAAACAGTTGATTTATGTTATTTTCTAATTCATAAGTCTCTTGTCTGCCATACAGCAAAATGTGTGCTCTATCCTGATGCATCCTATGCTGGCTTAGATCAGAATCTGAGTAACGACAAAGAAGTAACCAAATTTCAATTTTCTTACCAGTGTGGATTTGTAAAACGTTGCGTTTTTAAACTCGTATTGCATTTCCAATCTGGCAAGTTAGCTTGAACATCACCTGCGCTTGAGAATGATGTCTTAAAATAATAGAAAGAAAACTGTGATTTAAACATTAAAAGTGATTTTGGGATGCAAAGTACCGCAACTCAGATCCCAAATCTTTGCCGACTTTCAATTCGTGCTTGCAATCTTTTTGGCAACTGTGCTTAAAAAAAACATCCAATAAAAAAACAGTTATTTGGTGAAGAAAATACCACAATCAATACTCTATAACTTTTAAGTGCTCTGCAAATTATTCTCGTCTAATTATGATATAATTATATATATATTATGATATTTTGTAATTCATGACACAATTGTTGACTACAAAGCAAGATATGAGTACTCCACAAATAATGATTAAATGAAAATTAAGCAAACACTTCAAGTTTATTACCAGTCCAGATTTGTTAAACGTTACTTTCCTTAACTCGTATCACAGCTCTAGCCTGGCAATTATGCTTGAAAAATACATCTTTTTAGAAAATTTCGATATAAGCGCACAAGTTTCAAGTGATCGAAGACAGTTTAATAAAGAAAATATTCAATTTGCATTTGGCTTTAGAAACACAAAGCATGTGTGGTATTTTAACTCATACATATCTTGTGTTTCTAGATCAAATGTGAGTACTCGATGAATTCCGAATTGAGAAGTCCCAGATTTAAGTTTTTTACCAGGTCGATTGAAAAATTACCTATATTTAAAGAAGAATATATACAAAAAGAAAGGTGATTTTGAAAATGAGAGTGTTTCCCCGACCAAATGCACATTCGTGCTATATGGCACACAGTTGATTTATGTTATTTTCTAGTTCATAAGTCTGTTGAGTGCCATAGAGCAAGAAGTGTATCCTCATGTATCCTTAGCATGGCTTAGATCAAGATATGAGTAATCGACGAATTCTCAATTGAGTAATTCCAGTTTAAAGTTTGTTACAAGAATGGATTTGGAACTCTTTGCCGTTTTTAACATATTAGCATACAACATATTAATTTCAGACGATGATCGCTTTATATCCCTGTACTGACAAGAAGTGAGCCCTTGGCAAGATGTATGAACGATTTAAGCCCATATTTTCAGTTTTTTACCAGGTTAGATTTGCGAAACGTTGAATTTAGGTCGTATCACAATTCTAGCCTGGCAATTTTGCTTGAAAAATACCTCCTTTTAGAACATTTTGAGATAAGCGCACAATTTTCAAGTGATCGAAGACAGTTTAATAAAGAAAATATTCAATTTGCATTTCACTTTAGAAACACAAAGCATGTGTGGTATGTTTTAACTCATACGTAACTTGTGTTTCTAGATCAAATGTGAGTACTCAACGAATTCCCAATTGAGAAGTCCCAGTTTTAATTTTGTTACCAGGTCGATTGAAAAATTACCTATATTTAAAGAAGAATATATACAAAAAGAAAGGTGATTTTGAAAAAGAAAGTAACCGTGTTGAGGAAAGTGTTTCCCCCACCAAATGCACATTCGTGCTATATGGCACACAGTTGATTTATATTATTTTCTAGTTCATAAGTCTGTTGAGTGCCATAGAGCAAGAAGTGTGATGCATCCTCATGTATCCTTAGCATGGCTTAGATCAAGATATGAGTAATCTACGAATTCTCAAGTGAGTAATTCCAGTTTAAAGTTTGTTACAAGAATGGATTTGGGAGACTTTGCCGTTTTTAACATAGTCCCCGTTTTAAGTTTGTTACAAGAATGGTACTTTGCTTGAGAAATACTTATATTTGACCGAGAACATATACAGAAAGAGTGGTAAATTTAGGCCGTGATAAAATAGTGTTTGGACCTTTCTCTGACTAAATTCACATTAATACTACACACGTGATTATAAATTGCATACATATTCATAATTGTTTTCCAAAAAGCAGGATGCGAGCATTCGGCAAAAAGGATGAAAGATGTAAGCCCACAATTTTCAGTTTTTTACCAGGTCAGATTTGTGAAACGGTTCCTTCTTATAACTCGTACCACAGTTCTAACCTGGCAACTTTGCTTGAAAAATACCTCTGTTCAAAGAAACGAGAAAAGAAAACGTCCGTTTCAAAACTTAATGGTAATATGGTGATGAAAACTTGTGCATTCGATTCGCTCTTATTTCATATTCATGACTTTATGTACCCAAGGCATGTGTGATACATTGACCGCGTCCATACTTTGTGTGTCTTAGCTCAAGATGTGAGTAATCGACGAATCCCCAATTGAGCGATCCAAGTGTCAAGCTTGTTACAAGAATGGACTTGGGAAACTTTGGCTGCTAATTTGGCTAATTCGTAGCTTCTTTTTCTTCTTTGGTCAGCGCACTGCAAAAGATTTGGAAGTATGTATAAAATTATGAACTGTAGATAAAAAAAAAAACATAAAAATTCTGACAGGATTGTTAAAAATCCCTTCACATACACGCGTGCGCACCCCCACTAAATTGTATGCGGATGTGTGATGAAAATCAATATTTTTAATAAAAAAAATACACAAATATAATATTTTTCAGTGAGATACTGTCAACAAAAAAAAAGAGTTACTGAAAATATAATAAATTATAATTTATCCATTTTACTAGGAGAATTACTAAAGAACAAGTAGATTAAAACTTGATTAGCGGGTTAGAACCGTTTTGTGCGTGAGCGAGCTCTGTTAAATTGTGCGTGCGAGCAGAAGAAAAATACAATTTTACTCAACAATACGTTTTGAATTCACATTCTGCATTGAAAAAGCAATGGAGAATAGAATGTATTTGCAAATTCTATTGTTCCTTGCTTTTCCCAAGCAGGATGAAAGCAGCCGTCGAATCAAAATAAATTTTTTTGTGGAAACTATAATATGAACATATTTAAAATAACGATTCAGGCGTCTTTTCAGCAAAACATCAAAATACAAAAGAGCTACCATAAATATCAATAAAATTTTACCAGGTTAGATTTGCGAAACGTTGAATTTAGGTCGTATCACAATTCTAGCCTGGCAATTTTGCTTGAAAAATACCTCCTTTTAGAACATTTTGAGATAAGCGCACAATTTTCAAGTGATCGAAGACAGTTTAATAAAGAAAATATTCAATTTGCATTTCACTTTAGAAACACAAAGCATGTGTGGTATGTTTTAACTCATACGTAACTTGTGTTTCTAGATCAAATGTGAGTACTCAACGAATTCCCAATTGAGAAGTCCCAGTTTTAATTTTGTTACCAGGTCGATTGAAAAATTACCTATATTTAAAGAAGAATATATACAAAAAGAAAGGTGATTTTGAAAAAGAAAGTAACCGTGTTGAGGAAAGTGTTTCCCCCACCAAATGCACATTCGTGCTATATGGCACACAGTTGATTTATATTATTTTCTAGTTCATAAGTCTGTTGAGTGCCATAGAGCAAGAAGTGTGATGCATCCTCATGTATCCTTAGCATGGCTTAGATCAAGATATGAGTAATCGACGAATTCTCAAGTGAGTAATTCCAGTTTAAAGTTTGTTACAAGAATAGATTTGGGAGACTTTGCCGTTTTTAACATATTAGCATACAACATATTAATTTCAGACGATGATCGCTTTATATCCCTGTACTGACAAGAAGTGAGCCCTCGGCAAGATGTATGAACGATTTAAGCCCATATTTTCAGTTTTTTACCAGGTTAGATTTGCGAAACGTTGAATTTAGGTCGTATCACAATTCTAGCCTGGCAATTTTGCTTGAAAAATACCTCCTTTTAGAACATTTTGAGATAAGCGCACAATTTTCAAGTGATCGAAGACAGTTTAATAAAGAAAATATTCAATTTGCATTTCAATTTAGAAACACAAATCATGTGTGGTATGCTTTAACTCATACATAACTTGTGTCTCTTAGATCAAATGTGAGTACTCAACGAATTCCCAATTGAGAAGTCCCAGTTTTAATTTTGTTACCAGGTCGATTGAAAAATTACCTATATTTAAAGAAGAATATATACAAAAAGAGTGGTGATTTTGAAAAAGAAAGTAACCGTGTTGAAGAAAATGTGTCTCCCACACAAAATGCACATTCGTGCTATATGGCAAACACTTGATTTATGTTATTTTCTAATTCATAAATCTCTTGTCTGCCATACAGCAAAATGTGTGCTCTATCCTGATGCATCCTATGCTGGCTTAGATCAGAATCTGAGTAACGACAAAGAAGTAACCAAATTTCAATTTTCTTACCAGTGTGGATTTGTAAAACGTTGCGTTTTTAAACTCGTATTGCATTTCCAATCTGGCAAGTTAGCTTGAACATCACCTGCGCTTGAGAATGATGTCTTAAAATAATAGAAAGAAAACTGTGATTTAAACATTAAAAGTGATTTTGGGATGCAAAGTACCGCAACTCAGATCCCAAACCTTGTCGACTTTCAATTCGTGCTTGCAATCTTTTTTGTGGCAACTTTGCTTTAAAAAAACATCCAATAAAAAAACAGTTATTTGGTGAAGAAAATACCACAATCAATACTCTATAACTTTTAAGTGCTCTGCAAATTATTCTCGTCTAATTATGATGTAATTATATATATATTATGATATTTTGTAATTCATGACACAATTGTTGACTACAAAGCAAGATATGAGTACTCCACAAATAATGATTAAATGAAAATTAAGCAAACACTTCAAGTTTATTACCAGTCCAGATTTTTTAAACGTTACTTTCCTTAACTCGTATCACAATTCTAGCCTGGCAATTTTGCTTGAAAAATACCTCCTTTTAGAACATTTTGAGATAAGCGCACAATTTTCAAGTGATCGAAGACAGTTTAATAAAGAAAATATTCATTTTGCATTTGGCTTTAGAAACACAAAGCATGTGTGGTATTTTAACTCATACATATCTTGTGTTTCTAGATCAAATGTGAGTACTCGATGAATTCCGAATTGAGAAGTCCCAGATTTAAGTTTTTTACCAGGTCGATTGAAAAATTACCTATATTTAAAGAAGAATATATACAAAAAGAAAGGTGATTTTGAAAATGAGAGTGTTTCCCCGACCAAATGCACATTCGTGCTATATGGCACACAGTTGATTTATGTTATTTTCTAGTTCATAAGTCTGTTGAGTGCCATAGAGCAAGAAGTGTATCCTCATGTATCCTTAGCATGGCTTAGATCAAGATATGAGTAATCGACGAATTCTCAATTGAGTAATTCCAGTTTAAAGTTTGTTACAAGAATGGATTTGGAACTCTTTGCCGTTTTTAACTTATTAGCATACAACATATTAATTTCAGACGATGATCGCTTTATATCGTTGTACTGAAAAGAAGTGAGCCCTCGGCAAGATGTATGAGCGATTTAAGCCCACACTTTCAGTTTGTTAGCAGCTCCGGATCACAGTTCTTAACTGGCAACTTGGATTAAAGAACAATTAAAAGTGGTTTTATGATGTAAAGTACAGCAATTGATCCACTAGCCTTTTTTATTCGCACTTGTATTTTTTATGGGTGTACTTTTCTTGAAAGATTTATGTTTTTTTATGCCATTAATAGTTCTGATTTTAAAAATAGAAGTGATTTGAGATATTTTTTAGCACCATGTCTTCAGATGACTCCAAAATTAAAGATACTCTGCTCATTTGTTCAATACATAAGTTTGTGAGGGCCCTTTACCTTCTTTAATATAAAATTTTCTTCTTTATGTTTCCACAAGCTTCAAAATGGCCAATGAGTATGTTGTCACATCTTCAATAACGAGTACGGTAATTTCTAATTGAATTAGGATCATAATTTATTTTACTTGCATCACAATTAATATATTGCTCTCTTAGAATTTAGTGTACTAAATTATATAAGCAACTAACTGCTGGCACGCTTCACAAAACAACGACGGCAGCTGCTCCACACTGTACATACAACTTTCCTAAGCGGCCAGAGAGATGCGAGTAGCTGGCTCTTTTTGGTAACAAATTTTACAAATACATATAAGTAAATTCTCCCTTTTCTAGATTGCACTAAAGTTAATACATGCCACTAAAAGTGTGTCATTAGCTTATTCCAAAACATTGTGTATGCCTCTTATACGAGTAAAAATCGTTTTGTAAGTAACTTTCTTGATTGCATACAGCGCCTAATCGTCTAGTCGTAACTATTTGTTTATAACTTATCATCGTTTGTATATATGTATCTTTTGCAGGCTATGACGCAATTTTTTGAGAATGTCTTTCATTTAGGATCTGGGTATAAAAATCATTTCCTCTGTTTAAGCTTATGTATAGGGGATTTGTATTGCATTATGCATTATTACTTCTTCTTTTTGTAAAGATATCAAAATGTTTTAACAAGCGTTTGTTTCATTTCACTATTTAGTACACAGGTATACATAAGGCTCTCACTCGTAAAAGAGATCAGTGATTGTGGTTCTTTATGCGCTTCTAGTGTCTAGTGTATGTGTGCGAAGTGTTGTCCAAGGCTTAAGCTTAGATATTCAACTATTTGTTAACGAACATTGTGAGGATGCAACTAAAAACTATGCGATTTCTTCAGTTGACTTCATATACATACATATATGTAATCTGTTCTCAATTTAAAGCTACTTTGTTGTGCAAAATAACATTTTTTATAAATATAAGGCTGCTTTTGGTCCAGGATTTCCTATATACAGTCGCTGAGGGTAGCAAAAAGCATTATGTGAGTTTCTTGGCCCATTTCATATCATCGTCGCGTGGCTTTAGGCCCGTAAAATGCTCAATAACAAGCTCAAAAGTAGACCAGAATCTAAATGACAAAAAAATGATCACACATGAAAATGAAGGTGAATTTAAGGAGGAACACGCCACAAACCTTATACGTTCCAGCGGCCAATTCAACCATCCCGTGGTTATGCAAAAGTACGTCTCATGCGGTGCCACATGATGTATACGATGATGCTTCCTTGGCAGAATAATGTGACAGCTTTGCAGTAACAGAACCCACCGTGGCAGACCCCAGTAGGTATGTGACCATTTGTGAATCTATAAAATCATTAAATTCAAATTATTTTTCATGAACGGAATAATATGTTTGGATGAACCCTCACCTGATTTGTCATGGCCACAAATATGGAGCAAAGAAATACATAGGCTATCCAGCCAAAATGTAGCTGAATCTCGCTGGGCGATCGAATGTAGAAATAGTGCGCCAAATACCCAAGGATGGGTATTCCAACCATAAAATTGTCACCATTCGTTTCAATGAAATCGTGGCGCGTTATGGATGTGGGATCCAAGTGATGCTCGCGAAACGGACGCAGGAAATTCTAAGAAATAATAAAACCATATAAGAGAACCAACTGATGATGGGAGCACCTGCATGCATACCCTGCCAATTAGGGGCAAGTCCACAGAACCCCAGGTATCTGCTGCCCAGTGGACCAGACCAGAAGCAAAGTCTGCTGTTATGATGCCACACAATGCGGACACAATGGCCACACTAATCCTCTCCAGTCGCATGTGCCGGACAATCAGTATCAGATTGATGATCATGAGGCCTATGCAGGTGTACACGCAAATGATTTCCTGGGCCCGCTTTCCTATGGTAAGGATTGTCGGATTGTGTACAATATGAAAATGTTATCCAATTCGCCTTTCCTTACAGCTATATAGATCCTCACCTGGACTGTACAAAGAGGCCAGCTCCTGGGCGCCCTTGTTCTGTGGTCCCCAACGTGGCGCCGCCGATGGGGGAGCCACATTGGTCGCTTTGAGTACCTCCTGCCTCTGATCGGATTCTTGGTCCTTGGTTGTGGCTGGCGCTGAATTTCCATTGGGATCATCCTCGTACATGGAGTTGGCCAGAATTTCCTTGTCGCTCTTACCCGCCATCGTCTATGAAGAATGGAAAAATGGTTGCTTAACTGAAGAGCTTGATGGAGGAAACGAAACAACTTCAAGGACTTAAGGACGGTCCCTGACTAATGATTGGCGACGTGGCGTCTGTATTCAATGTCAGGCCATGGCCTGGGAAGCCCAACAGATGGACCCCTCCGAAGCGAAGCGAAGCCCTTTTTCCACATGCATAATTTACGATTTTTATGGGAATAGAAGTAACAAAATACAAGCAACCTAACCAGATGGGCGAGGATTATACTAAATACATATAAATTGTTTTTAAAAAACCGTTGTTATTGCAGGAGCCCGAGTATTTCCTTCAGAGGGTGTCAACGAATGACCTCTGCACAGGAATCCCTCTCCCCTTACCCCAGCACATTGTGGCGTTGATGTCATTAGGTCCTCCAACTGCACTAGGTCCCACACCGTCTGCATAGTAATACCTGCCACCGAATGGGGCGACGTGTCACGCAATATTTTTGGGCTTACGGCTGGTCCGTGGGGAGCGACGGAACCCACTCGAATGAGTTGTCAGTGGCGGAGGCGCGCCGCCGCGCCAAAGGTGCCTTAATTAGGCAAATTGGTATTTAAATTGTTGTGAACGCTATCTATCCCTGGAGGTTGGTTTGGTTTGGGGTCCACAACGATATGCAAAGGATTGTATTTTTAGCAGGCTATTTGTTTCTTTGTTATAACATTCTTTATGTTCTCCAAGAGGTGTATTTTTCGATGACAAATGGCGCATAAGCCGAAATGTGACCAGTCTGATGTATTATATTAGAACACATTTCCATTTAGGCTTTAAAATTTATTTAAAAAAAGAGCTTTGTATTTTAGATTATGGTGTTTGCGATTGTGGCCATTCTAGAAAGTCTACTGTAGCTAATAAGTAGCTTGATAAGTAGAGGTAACTAATAACTCGATCTTTATCAGTGGAATTTTCAATACTTTCCGGTTTATGACTATAGACCCATACCATAATAGTTACACAACTATAGAGCCGTTCAAACAACAATTCATTTTACTAACTATCCCTAAAATAAAGGAAATATTTAATCAATTAAAAGCTTTCAATCAATGACCTATAAAATACTTGGAAAATACATTCAAAAGGCATAAATGTAATTACAATAATTAGGTCATTTATAACTGGAAATCTATAAAGAAAATTATACTCGAAGGTGTTCGAACACTGGCCATTAGGGAATGTCGTGTCCCAAAGAAAAAACACATTAATCAAAACTGGTAACAACTTATTGATAAAGCAGCCCACCAGCTGCTACTGACCCCCTCCGAGTGTAAGGAACTTCACGAGGGATTGACAGACTGGTGGCGGCACACGCGTGGGCATTCACTAATGTTACCGAAGCCCCGAGAAAGCGAGACACGAAGGACATGAAAAGCAAAGCTCTATAATCTAGGCAGTGACTGGAGCCCTGTGGGGCCGTAAACAAACATTTCCTTTTGACGTGCAACAGAGCGCAGGATAAACAAAAGAAGGCAGGAAGAAACACCAGTAGAGCGCCGATTCAAATTTCGAAAATAAATGCCAAGTGCCAGAGGAGTGGGCGTAGGTCGGGTCTCCATTAGGGCGAAGACCCTATAGATCCTACCCTCTCTATAGGGCGGAAGTAAAATGGGAAACCGAAATGTTGTATGTAAAAACGGCGACAACAAAATTATTTGGCGCCGACTCTAGTGGGTTTGCGGCTACCCAGCAATTGAAGAGTATAATATAAGAGTAGAACACGGACGAGAATTTTTCCCCGTTGGAAAACTATAAGAATAATTAATCGAGTGGTTCTGGACTATTTCTACCATTTTGATAGACTACTTTAATCTCCCCCATATAACCCATTGTGCACTATCTTAATCTTTTAATTACACTATTGTGTACCAACTACGCATTTGTTAGCTTGTGAAACCTATTATCGAGGGATATATTTAGCTTTCTAACATATCGTCCATTCTTATTACAGCTGTTAATCATACCAACTGAAGTGAAACACTAAAAAAAGGGCCTTAAAATTCCTCACGAAGTACTCTCATAGTCGGATGCAATCCCCCCACCGTATCACATAATTTGTTTGTTTGCTTGTGAAAGGCATAAAAATAAAAGGGGGCGCACATAGCACAGCCAACAGGTATTAATTTGGCACAATGTAACTACGATTTTCGTTTGGTTTGTGGCGCTGAAGGAAAATGGCAATTTATTACACGAAATGCGCGAAAAGTACTCCAACTCCAACAAACTGTAAGAGAAAGAGTGTCAGAAGTGAGGAGCCGCCACCCTGTTTTTGTCAGCCTGCTTTTCGGGTGAGGTGACCGCGCGACATGCCACACTCGCTCTCTCATTCAAACTTGCGGTTCACATAGCGGTATTTATAGCACTATTATTTTTGTTGCCCTTTTTTTCTGTTCGGTTTTTGCAATTGATAAGAAATTGTAGTGTGGCTGGCTTGCATATTGCACGGCTATTACGGGCCTGTACGTACGGCGGGGTCTCTATTTATAAAGGCAAGCAAAAGCAAGGCTCTCGCACTCACCTGACTCACCTTTCGAGGGGCGAGACCAGTAATGTTACTTGGATTTGTGTGTTAGCTGCTAGTTCTACGAAGAACTTTACGATTCGGTCATATACTATGTGGTAGGGCCTATTTTTTACTTGGAAACAATTAAAATCAAAATGACCGTCTGCTCCGATATTGATTAAAACAAACAACAAATTTATGCATGCACGCAAGCGAAACTACTGGTGGGTATTACTACCAAGTATTGGATGAATTACGGCCAACTCCCGGGAACGTCAATGCTTGGCGGTTGTGTCGTATGCCGCCACGGCAAATGGCAAATAAATGCTGGTAGTAGAAGTTCCTTTTATTATACACGTGATTTAGGGCTGCCTGCCCCACCACACCACAACTACAGCAACAGCAACAGCAACACCACGCACTGGCGACGACGACGACGACACGACACTCCGTTTCCGCTTGCAGTCAACGCTACTTTGCACCAGTAAAATCCGAAAGAAACTAAAACTAAAACGGACACTGGCGGCATTTGGCTGTTCATTCATGCTATATTTTCGTTTGTGTGTGTGTGAACATGTTTACCATTATGTTACTCACCGCTTTAGAAATTATATTAGAGTTTTTGTACCACTATTATTTGTGATTGTATAGTTTTTAACAATAATTTAGAATTTTGACGTATAAATATTCGCAAAAACACAGTTAAGTTCATTTAACTCTCGCGCCTCCGACAACTATCGACAAGGATGGATATCGATGTTTCCGATGTTATTTTTAAATTACAGATTAAGAAGATTAAGATTAAAAAGAAACAATATTAAGTAAACAATTATATTTATACATGCTATTCATGGTGGTGCTACCAGTTTTAGTTTGTTTATGTCATAGACGTCATCTAATTGTACCATCAACTAATTGTTTTTCCAACTCTAGTCGATAGCTTTAGTGCTGCCAACCTTTTTTTATCTGATCAGCTGCTCGCCGGCACACATTCTGCTTGTTACGTCGTTGCGTTTTTGGAAACAATTCAGTTTTAATAACTTAAAATGTTGCCCATTGCGCGAGGGATATACAATGGTTTGGCTAGCATAACGCGCAACAGCCGGGGAGCTTTGCATACAGCCAGCGCCTTCAGATGCAAGGCTGCAACGGAAAATGAAGCGGAGGCGGTCGATGGCGAAGAGGAGCCAAAGAGCTCTGGTCCGGACCCCAAAGATCGCACCCAAGTGATACCTGTGGAAACATCAATACGTTATCTGAAGAGTGTCGCGTATAAGGAGACCTATGGCGACGATTTCGTGTGGTCTCAATATCGGTAGGAATCATTCTCTGACTCCGACAAACATTACACTGATATTGAAATATACTCTTTCCTAGGCGCAACCACAAGGGCATGTATGCGCCACGCAAGACCCGCAAGACTTGCATTCGCCAGGGCAAAATATCCACCGGTAATCCTTGTCCCATTTGTCGCGATGAGTATCTCGTCCTGGATTACCGCAACACGGAACTACTGGAGCAGTTCATTTCGCCGCACAATGGAGAGGTCCTCAGCTACTCGAAGACGGGTCTATGCCAGAAAAGTCATTTGCGTTTGAGGGTGGCGGTGGAGCAGGCCCGGGATTCTGGCCTCATAACCTACGATGTGCCATTCAGAGAGTATGACTACAACGAGTTCTATGGCCAGCAAAAGTCCTAATATTAGTTAATCATATTTAATAAACGATTGTTAAAAGATTTGGTTGATTGAATATCCGTTATTTTGAGGTTAAGTTGAGCATCAGCTGTTGTTTATTGTTTTGATTTTCTTCTGTTTTTGAGGATGTCGCGCGACTGCAACTTCTTGGTCGTTGGCGGTGGGATTGCTGGCGTTAGTTGTGCCGAAACATTGGCCATATGCTGCCCCTCATCGTCCATTTTGCTGCTCACTGAATCCAGCATTGTGAAGAGTGTTACCAATCTCGTGCCCGTCGCCCGCTATCTTCACAAATTCGATGTGCGGGAGAAAGATGTCAACGAAATTGGCGCCAGCATAGCAACAATTGTGGACCAACTGGAGTACATCAACAGCCGGGAACACTGGGCACGCACCAAGACGGGTGTTATACTAAAATATCGATACATCTGCGTGTGCACCGGAGGATCACCAAAGTTATTCAATTCCGGCCATGCCGAGTCACGCATCATTGGCATCCGCGATACTGATTCCGTGTTGGAACTCCAAAAGAGACTGCTCACAGCCAAGGATGTCTTGATTCTGGGCAATGGCGGCATTGCCAGTGAGCTGGCCTACGAGCTGAAGGATGTTAATGTCCACTGGGTGGTGAAAGATTCGCATATATCCGCCACTTTTGTGGATCCGGGAGCTGCGGAGTTCTTCCAGCTGGCCAGGAGTGAGCTGGAGAAGCCAACAATCACGGAAACTGCCATTAAACGGATGCGCTATGGTGAACTCACGCCCCCAGACAAGAAGGAGAGTAAGCAAGGAGCCGCTTTGGGTCCGGACTGGCACAGCAATTACGATTTGAGTGGCGGTTCAAAAGATGCGGGCAAAGTACTGCCGAAAATGTACTACAAATCGAATATAGCGGATTACCATATGCTCCCAGAGGAAGGAAGACTTAGTATTAAGTTGAGCCACGACGATGGTAGCACGGAGAAGCTGACCTGTGATTTTATTGTGTCTGCAACTGGTGTCCAGCCACGGCATGAGTTTGCAACTGATTTCCCGCCAAAATTAGCAGACGATGGCGGGCTTTCTGTGGATGAAATGATGAGGACCGATTTGCCAGATGTCTATGCGGCGGGCGATGTCTGTTCTGCAGCGTGGGAGCCTGCTCCCCACTGGTTCCAAATGCGCCTGTGGACACAGGCCAGGCAAATGGGTTCTATGGCTGGACGCAGTATGTCCGCCGCTTTCGAGGGAGAGCCCATCTATCAGGACTTTTGTTTTGAGCTCTTCGGGCATGTGACGCAGCTGTTTGGCTACCCTGTAGTACTTCTTGGCCGCTTCAATGGCCAGGGTCTGGGCCGTGACTATGAACTACTGGTTCGCTGTACCCGCAACAAGGAATACATCAAGTTTGTGCTGCAAAATGGAAGACTGCGCGGGGCCATTATGATTGGGGACACCGATCTGGCAGAGACCTGCGAGAATCTTATATTAAATGGCATCGATCTGGAGCCGTATGGCGATGATATACTTAATCCTGATATTGACATTGAAGACTATTTTGATTAATTTATTACATTATACAGCATTAAAGACCATGTATCTTAAATCTAAACTAAGCTTTAGGAGTGGCTACGTGTATGCCCTGACTTGGTTTTCTTGTGCCTGTGTCATTTGAGTTTTCCCTCGTTTCCGACGTATTTGATCTCATCGAAGGCCTTTCGCGCCTTTTTCAGCTCCTCGTTCATGGTCAGCAAGTCCTTGACCCTTGCGTATTTGCGTTGATCCTTGCGCACCAGAAAGATAATATCCTCTACTTGCACGCGACCTGTCCGCCCAATTTCCATGGCACGATGTGTCGTCTCTGCTATATATTCTATGACCAGATCTTCGAGCAAATCCACTGTCTCCGTATAGGGATTTTTATCATCGCCAAAGCCAAACATCATGCAGCGCAACTCCTGCCGAGGTCAAAACACAACAATTATACAAATTACATTATGTGAATTCCACAAACTTTGCTAAAAAGGCGCTTCCTTCCCGAATTTGTGGCCACCAATTGCTCATCATCGGCATCGTCGTCAAAGTTGAACTAAAACAGGACAAAAGAGAATCTTTACACTTGCAAATAATTCGCCAAACACTTTGCATACGTCTCCGCCCTCGAAATTCTCTTCAGGCATGTTGTTTGAGGCCATGTTTTCTTATTTTCATAAAATTTGTTTGTTTAAAAATGTACTCTACTTTGAACAGCTGTACTTGACCAGCTGCAGTGTTGTATGAACAGAGTAGTCGATCTATCGTTATCGAGGCCGCATGTCAATACACTCATTTCAAATTTTTCGACGCTACACCGTCTTGTTGCCATAAAAAACATAAGCATGGAAGTATACACTTTTGAAAAATCCTTTTTGGAGCGCCTCAAAGAAGCCGAGGCAGTGTTGTCCTGGGATGGGGCCGTGATGCCCGCCTCCCAAGTGCGATCCGAGTGGAAATCCTTTGTTGAGCTTCAGATTGAACCAGCAGGTAAGCCTCCAACACAAAGGCGCATTCAATCGAAGGCTTAAATGTGCACACACACACACATGTGTTTATTCAGGTTGGCAGGCGATCTGGAAAATACCTCGCGTCATCTGCGAGGATCTCAAGCTACGATATCCAACCATTGTCTATGGGTATGTTGAGCAGGTCATATTTGACGAGCTGAAGGCGGTGTTTGTGGTCACAGCCGTGCAGGATAATGATGTTCACTTGCCGGAGAGCAACGAGGTGTCCTTGATCGAGCTGTGGCCCACCATCAAGCAGGAGAACGAAGCCCTAAATGTGGACACCACTGCAGAGTGCATTGATCGCCTGCGCTTCTTTTACTGTCATGTCTGGATGCCGTGGGACAAGGACTATGATGACGATCGCGATTGGGTGCAGATGCACTTGCAGGCTCGCATTCAGTTGGCCTGTGATCTGAGCAAGAATAAGCTGTCTCGCCCTCTGGCTTTGCACATGCGCACGCTCCTGATGGAGGCCAAGTATATACAGCAACGTCTGGAGTATTTGGAACTAGATCTGAGCGATGCCGAGGTCGAGAGCGATGACGAGGCCGTCGAGCTGAATGACAATGCCGCCGAGCCGGCAAGGAAGCAGCCCAAGCCAGGCAGCGCCAACGGCAGCTTGAATGTATCCACATTGCCCGTCACGGATCTGATGTGCCTGCACCTGCGTATGGCCATTATTCGCAGTGAATTTGAGATTCTGGAGAATCCCGAAATGAGGCGTGCCTACAGTGAGCTGCAGTCGAACTCCCTGAAGCGTCATCTCTTGCAGCGAAGCGTGGGAAGGCTGACGGAGCTTCCTCTAACGGAGCGTACTCCCATTTGCCATGTGGTCACAGTTCCGGGCAAGCTACAGCAGCAGATGGACTTGCTGACGCTGGCCAAGGAGCAAGTGAAACCGGACACGCAGGTTCAGTTGGCCAACACCTTGCAGGATGTTCTGAGCATATGCCGGAGCGACGATGATATTTTGCTCTCACCCGGCGAGCATACAATCAAATTCCTCGAACACCTCAACAACAATGGCAGCCTCAAGGGGCTTGTTAAGTCCGAGGCCATATTGGTTGCCGAACCACAGCTCCCAAACTTGCCTGTAGTGTGCTCCAGCGATGAGGAGAGCACTCTTCTCGTCATCGATGGGAACTACACGCTCTCGCACCTAGTTCTCGACTGCCGTCATGTGCGCAGGGGCATTCTGCTGCGCAGTGGAACGCTCACCGTGCGCGGGTGTCGTCTGCTGGGCGACGGCAACTCCAGCACTCAAGAAGGCATTGTTTGCATGCCGAATGCCAGCGTAGAGATGCGTGGCTGCATCATTGAGAACTTTGCCGTGGGCATTTCGATGCGGCCTCGCTCCAGCGCAGAGTTGGGCAATGTTCAAGTGAAAAGCTGCAATACAGGAGTGGAGCTGCTGGACAAGACAGTTTCGTTGAATCTACAGGGTAGCAAGTGTAGCTTTGACAACTGCAAAATAGGTATAATGGCTGATAACTTGGCCTTGCCTGGAAAAGAGGATAAGGTGCTGGTCCTAAGGCAATACAGCGAACTAAAGCGGTAAGAATGGAGTGTAATATTCTGTAAAATGGTGTCAATTGCTAACTGTATTTTGCCTTGCAGCTACAACGACAACAATTGGCTGGGAAACTGCAATTTCATGGATTGCACAAAAAATGTGCGAGTTTTCAATAAATCTGATCAGCTGCTGGCTCAGCATTCTCAGCAACGTCTCCTAGACGATGAGCTGGAGGGCGAAAACAAAGAGAACATTGATACTGCTTAAGGACAACTAATGCTTATCACAATCAAACTCGGTTTACGTTAATAAATTCTATAATAAATAAAAAAGCACAATTAAATATAGGCGGTAAAATATCGGAAAGACCTACTATCGGTACAAACAGTATCGATACTTACCTAGCTAAGAAAGTGACCATCTGGCAGCACTCTTGGTTTGTTTACGTACAAAAAGATAACTGTAGAAACGCCCCCAACAACATTTGTACTATAAATAAAAATATTTTAAACGAGTATTAGACAATACACATTGCACCATGTCCAAGGAGCATTGGATGCGCGACCTGCCGCCCGAATTGCGGGACATGTCAATAATTAATTTGGCCATTCCAGGTATGAATGAGATCATCATTCCCAGCCACTTAATGAATATCACGCGCGTATCTAGTATAGGTTCACACAATTCCATGACCTATGGAATAAACGGCAGCTCCCAACTAGCGCCAGATGCGGAGCCAGCTATCCGACGATGGTATCGCTTCTTTCCCTGCTTTGTACGTCGATGGAGCAAGACACAATCCTCCAGCATCATAGAGCAACTGAGTCTCGGGGTTCGCTACTTCGATTTAAGGATAGCTCAAAGGGACGAAAAGTTCTACTACTGCCATGCCCTGTTTGCCATGGAAATCTTCGAGCCGCTAATAGAACTCCGTCAGTTCTTGGACAGCCATCCTGAGGAGCTGGTCGTCCTGGATATGCAGCACTTCTATGACTTGACCCCGAACCACCATCAGCAGCTACACAAGGAGTTGATACAATTCTTCGGTCATAGGCTGTACTCCACCACAGAGGGCTCCCTGCTCGACTGCACACTGAACCGCTGCCTGGAAATGCAACGCCAGGTGGTGATCATATACCGAAGATGCCCCATTCCGTTACCGCTGCGCTTCTGGCCCAGCTTTGCCTGGCCCACTCCTTGGCCGAACAAGGCGAGCGTGAAGAAGTTGCAGTCGTTTCTTGAGGATTCATTGCTCTCCCGCCAGCCGCAGCAGGGCTATGTGTCCCAGTGCCTTATCACACCAACTGGTCGATACATAGCCTTTCGGGTTTTCTTCTCTCTGAAGCGCACAGCCAGGCGTGTGGATAAAAAGCTTTATCCCTGGATCACGGAACAAACTCCAGGTCCCTTTGACCCGAAGGAGAAGCCTCGTGTAAATGTGTTTCTAGGTGATTTTGTAGAGCTTAAGGACGGACAGTTTTGCAATTGGGTAATGGATTTGAACAGCAAACTGGAGCCGGAGGAAGAGGACGAGGCAGCTATTTGATGCTATATTACGTACAACAAAGTGTTTTCCATTGGGTGCTATTATTTTATTTTTCAAAAACCAATATACAAAATATATATATATTTAAAAACATAAAAACAAACAAGCACATTGCAACGTAAAATCTAGTTCAAGGCGTAAACTAAACGTCAAGTCAATCGATAAGAAAGCGCACTGCTTTCTGTGTCTTCGTCGGTGAGCTGGCACCGGCTGCAGCCTCTGACTGTGCCAGCGAGCTCCGCATGCCGTGGAGCACACTGTCTAGGCGTGTCAGAGCCTCCTGTAAGCTGATGGCCAGTACTCCGTTGTCCTGTTGATTCTCCCGCTCGAGTAGAGCGTTCTCGCAGTAACGCTTCAGCCGCTGGGTCGATCCCTGCAACATCTGGAGCTCCTGGTGGACGAGCATCTGGAATTGGCTGCCCTCTGTGGTCTCCTCGGGGTCGTAGGTTAGCAAGCGCTTGGTGTATTGAACTAATTTGCTCCCTGGCGAGGGACTAACTGGGGTTTTGCCCGAAGGTGTAGATGTCTGACGTGGTGTGTTGCTACTTGTGGACACATTGAGAAGCCTCTTCAATGGCTGCTTGAGCATGGCACTCAGATTCAAGGAAATTCGACTAGAATTGTGGTTGTCGCTTAGCGTCTCGTTTAGATCTGCATCTAATGGCTCCCAGTTCACCTCGACGCTCTGAAAGATTGTGTGGGCATTCAGCGTCTGATCAGGATTATCTCTCAGCAAATCGAGCCAGACGCCCAGTCGGGCAATGGGCCACTCGGCTTTGAAACCACGCTGCTTGTCCAGAATCAGTATCACCGTTCGCAGAAGGCCGAATTCATCTGGAGCTTGGGTTTGCCGGAATTCCAATTGCAGTCCCAGCTGGCGACAGCGTTGGGTGGCTTCCTTCACCATCAGTTGGGTCTTGTGCAGGCTTTCCTCGCTCGGATTCAGCATTATGCGTTGTATGTCCTCCAGCAGGTTGGACTTCTGGGCTGGCGTGGACACACCCACCTCCTCTTTCAGAGGCGTTTGCTGTTCCTTTTGGGCCTGGGCCAAAACCTGACGTTCCGTCTCCAGCATCTCGCTGTTGCACTGGTACTTGAACTGCTCCAACTCGAGGCACTGCAACCGCTCCTCATAGTCCCTGGCATGCTGGGCACGCTCCTGCTCGATGCGCGTCAAGGCAGCCAACTTCTCGGCCTCCAGTTCGGAGCGAAGCTGCTGTTCCTGCTTCTGCAGGATCTCCTGGTGGGCCAACTGATAGTCAACCAACTGATCGGTCTTGGCTCTGTGCGTGCAAAAAGGATTGGATATGCGGAAGTAGTGGGAGCCACCGATCACCAAACGATCGCCATGGAACAGCTGTCGTCTCTCCGCCACCAGCTCGCCATTCACATAGGTCTCAAAGTCCTCGCTGCCTGGAATGACATATAGTTTGCCACTGCGTTCGTGCTCGATGATACAATGCTGGAGCGCCACCAGAGGGCCATCCAAAACGATATCCGGCTGTAAGTTGGCTGATCCCGGTAGACGCCCGCGTCCAATGCGTACCAGACCAGGGGGCAACAGATAGAACAGCGTTCCACTTAGTATGGGATCTGCTGTGAGATTGACCAGGCACGCCTGCTTCTGGTCGGCAGTCAGCTCCAGAGCCAGGCCTTTGCGTCTGAGCAAACGCAGCTCGGACTTGCGTTGATCCTCGGCATCGCGCAGCTTCTCCATCCAGGATTTCTGGGCTCGAATCAGCTCCCTTTCGCGTTCGGCCAACTGCTGGCGCAGTCCCTCCACCTCCGAGTCATCCACAGAGGTCTCTATGATGATCTTCCGTGGCGATGGGTTGTTTTTGTTCCCCGAGATGCGTCGCTGCCGTTCATATTCGTTCCTCAGGGACTTCAGGCGATCCACTTCTGCTCTCAGATCCCTGATGATCTTGTCGTGTGGGGACTCGTTGACCTTCACGCGGTTCACGATGGAGCGCGCCTTGCAAGCGTAGCGCAAGGTGGCCAATGTCTCGTCCGCATGGATGCTGGCGGGTGAGATGGTGGCCAGCATAACGGTCTTTGAATTGCCGCCAAGATTTTCCTGGAACGTGAAATCAATGAATATTTTAGTGCCTGTCATTTTGATATGAAAAAATCGATTGATTGACGTAAATTTCAAATTTGAGTTAAATTTGATAAGAAAAGTCGGGCTTGAAAAAACCCCCTATCCATAGATTTATGGCTTTTTTCTTTTCTTATCAAAAACTCAACGGGCGGAATAACAAAGACAATTAAGGTTGAACCAGAAAAGAATCGAAGCTCAAGCTCCTGATACCCTTTCATTAGACAGTCTAGAATCTAGATTTGATTACATGTGCATACACTTGATATGAGATCATCTTTTGTCGTTTCTACTTCTCTTTACATCCATATAATGATGGCATTCCAGGGTTAATATACCCTTGAGTTCCCCTCTACGGGTACAGGGTACTATAATGTAAACATTAAGCCCCCTCCCGATGACCCTCCAGCAGATGCTTGGAAATCTTAAGTAATGAAAAATAGACACAAACAAACCTTCGAGTGCACACTTATGTATACAAACATACATACATATACATATATGTATATGTACATGCTAATGTATATGTATGCGCATAATAAAGAAAAGATAATGACTGTCAATGATAAGGCTTCGGACAGTTTGCGGCATTCGAACAAACCTTAAACTACCGTTGGCAAAGACAGCCAACCTAATGATCATTAACGTTGAACCGTTATCAGTAAGTGCAATGAACAGAAAGAGATAGCCCTAGTTTAGTTATTGTGCCAACTAAATATACACACATGCATATGTCCATACATATGTTTGCATAGTTCGGTAAGGCGATATGTGTATGTAAGTACGTATATTTGGCTGTGTGCGTGTGCGTGTGTGGGATGTGTAAAAGACACTTGTTTGATTAAGCAGGTCAGCACCGAGCAGAGACATAGTGAGAGCAATAGACAGAGAGAGAGCAGAACAAACGGCAAAGGTATTTCAGACAACAGGTAAGGCAGTCTGATACATGCACGTGCATATTCTCGCAGCTGGACACAAAGAGAGAGCTAGAGAGAGTGCAGGTGGACCGAAAAGCGGCATTGCCATACCTCTCTATATTGTATACCTTGAGAAAAAGCTTGTTTACAAAAACTGCTGCGCAGCAGCGAGCGTAGGAGTAGCTAATTGAGAACGAACAGTGGGTCCACTACATTAATATGTTTACGGAATATTGACGATATCTTGCGGTATAGTTCTCTCATCAATTCAAGACCTTTCAGAGGCTGGACCATGAAACACCCGCCGTTCAGCGGAAATTCAATCAATGAATATTTCGAAACCGCAGTTAGTCATCCACGTACCAAAGCGTACCATATAATTAAATTGTTTGACTAAATATAGCCCTCCCGTATACGCCCACCTTTAGGAACGTATCACGATCCCCAGATACTGGCCAGATTTCGTGGGTACCAAAGTCTGAAACCACAAAAACTTGCTAATACAGGTACGTATTATAACGAAAAACAACAAACACCTTAATTGAAACCGGCTAAAGTGACGTAGGTACTTATTAACACTAAAATTTGAGCAAATTTACAAAAAATGTTCACCGACTGAAAAATGCAACATACAGATTATTTTTTGAAGGCTCCCGACGGCCAAAGAATTAGATGTTAATTAATAAAAATAATTAAAAACGAGATTGATTTGCCTTTTGAATGATTTTTACTCATCAATTGTCCCCATTTGATGAAATACAAAATACAACCGGCGAGACAGCACAAATGTTAAAAAGTACCGCTTGACAACCGAATTTCTTCCGAATATAAGGCTTTCCAAAGCGCATGGCAGGCATACAGTCTAGACGGTTATTAGCAAACCTAAAAGAGGTGTATTCAATACACCGGCTTAACAGCCGTTTGAGACTCATCTCATGACTTAAATTTGTCGTCAGCTTTTGTGGCATTAGCAATTCCTTGCTAATAAGAAAAACTTCCAACATTAACGATATTTTTCATGCCCTAAGACAATTAACATGTATTAAAGATTTTTTAAACTAAAACACTGTGAATCATATGGAAATTGGTTTCAAGCCGAAACAAACGTTGTGCACCACGGTATCTCATGAGCGCGCCTGTACTTAATGGCGAGAGGCAGCACTACACACATGTAGTATATTTGGGGGAGACTACACATGCAAGCTGGCAGAGAGAGCGGGACAAAAAACAGCGAAGCTTCAACAAAGCACGAGACGCGAAAACACAACACACACATGCAGGCATACATATACGAGACAAACAACACCAGTAGGTCCATTAACTTTGGCTCGCCAAAGTCTATATACCCTTTAGGTTGAATAAACCAGACAATTGATACCAACTTATTGTAATTTCGTTTTATTTTTTAGGTGCAATACTGCTCTTCTGAACGCAAACACCTTATGGGAAGAGTAGGGAGAGAAATACAGAGGCGAGCAGGTATGGATACATGTTCATCAATCCTCGTGATATTTTTTTTTTCATTGATTTTTTAATTTATTGAGAGAGAAAAATAAACAATTATGTTCCTGCACGTCTTTAATTTAGCGAGAAGCACAGGAGCTGAACCATGGAGCATACGTGTCCGCCACTATATATGCTGTCGGTGGGCTTTTTGAATAATAATATATGAACACATCAAACAGCTCACAAATTTTATAGCACTCGATCTTGAAAGGGTATGCACACTCTACGCACGCAAAAGCGAGAAACGAAGTCGTCGGCAAAACAAGCCACGAGCCCGAACCGCTACAAAAATGCAGTAATTCTGGCATTCGGCTCTCAGTTTCAGCCGAGACTTCCACAAGAAAACATCGAAATCCGATGAAATTTCGAAGGAACTGCATTAAGTTCAATGCAAATGTAAAAAACTGGCTCATACCTTGACGGGGTATTCGACACGGACAAACACAAGCAAACAAAAAAGTGCATAAATACGCGTATTTAACAAAGACCCTGCAAAAACAAAGTGATTCAAACAGAGTTCATTGCTCGCAAGAGAACCTCAAAAGAGACAGAGAGAGACACAGTGAAACGACCTCGCACAACGCGCGCCAATAGCGGAAAAGAGATAGACGGAGACTACGACTACAACCCCCCCTTAGAAGGCTCAAGGAAAACCTTTTAGACACCTTTCCATTATGGATGTTTGGGGCTTTTGTGTCAGCGACTCGACCATGTCGTATGGCGGGTCCATGCGCAGCGGCTATTACCGCGACTACGAGCAGTTCCCGTATGGCACACTGGAGTCGTCCAGCGCAGCATCCTCATGTGCCGTCAAGGATTCCTACAGTCGCGTCCAAGGTAATTATCGTTCAGAGCTTTTCGTCGCCACCGCTGCACAGCAGAGAGAGAGAGCAAAACAACAAAAACATGTTTAAAAGCACCAACAAAAATAAGAAAACCAGCCCCCCATTTTATTGCGTGTATTGTGGTTGTTTTTGTGAGAATTTAAAAATAGACAGCCTGATTTGATGTCCATGTATTCGTTGTCCGTGGGAGTTCACTATGAGTGTGTGTGTGTATGTATGGGGGAACACGCCTTAAAATTTTTCGCATAACAGAGGGTATCCATTGAGAAGATTCGCTTATCAGTGCTTCCGCCCTTCCCATGAGGCCGCTCTTTTTTAACCCTTAAAGAAGGGGGAATTATGATTTGAGCAATTCGGCAAAAGTGCTATAAAAATCACGTGCAGAAAGATATTGGCGAATCCAGTTGTTACATTGCCCAACTTTGCCCATAAAAATCTCACGTAGACAGGTGCCAAAGATTTCCGGCATGGCAAAATTGAAACGTAGTTAGATATCGTAACAATAGATACGTACGCCTGCATATGCGACTCTTAAAAGGTGTTTCAACTCGCCGTATGGCCAATCACTTCATATGGAGGTCACTGAAGTCCATTCCGTGTATATCCGCTTCTGCTTATACAAAGAATGCTAATTAAAAAGATAGACAACACGAGACTGTACCTCTCTTGGACTGGACTGACTCACAAAAAAAAGTTAAGCAGGTGGTCGCTGCGTTTTGGATATAAAGACAAAAAAGGCAAAGAAAAAACTTTGGTTGTATTTGTGTGAAAAACTGAGGCGCAATAATGGATCTCAGGTGTGCGAGAAGGGAGGAAGGAGTGCTGGCTGCTGTTATTGTTGTCTGTACAATCATCATATGACTAATTATGCCAATTGCCACAACATCCAGGGTACAGATTACCTCAGAGGCCGACAATTCCTGATAGAACATGGGCAAGGTCGCTTATCAGATATGGTTGGTGGTTTATAAATAGCATATCCGTACGGCTTTGCTTTAATCAATGGGAACCATTTAGTTCTGACACAAGCTCAATTGAGCAATCAAAACTCTTTGTGTGTGTGTGTGTGAGTGTGTGTCACAGGGTCATCTGTCATTTTGAGATTGAAACCAGTGCTGCCAGTTTTTTAGAGTCACCATAGGCTAGATTAAAAAAAAAAAACTAGAAAAACCTAAAAATTAAAGAAAAAATAGCTTAAAAATAAGCTAACCATCAGAATAATGGATACTTAAATTTTATTGATATACTTTGTTCAAATTTGTAACTAAGCAATGTACAAACAAACCGCAGCAATTTTTGCCTTATAAAAGAAGGAGTACGAAACAGAAATTGTTTTGTACTAAATTATTTTTAGCCAAAATAAGCTAAAGTGGCAACACTGATTGAAACAGCGCTGCTTTGGCTACACCATCTACGTCACGTCGGCAATCAGCTGTCGGCCCAAAAGGGCACGAGGGTCGGTGGCACGTAGGCCACAAAGTGGTAAGGGGAGAGAAAAAAAAAATAGAAGAGAGGGCAGAGAGCGAAAGAGAGAGAGAGAGAGAGTGTGGGAGTGCGTGACAGAAAGTCCACTTGCTGGCCTTGCCCAAGGTGTAGTTATGTAAGGTGAGGCATTCCTTAAGAAAGTTTTCCAGATAGTTCCCCTGCCCTCATTAACTTCTGTCTATTATTTGTTAATTAACCCATGGTTTACCCACTCTCTTACTTACAGAGAAATTCAAGCAAACTAAATCAGAGAAACAGCTGCGCAAGGACTGTCCCTTCTGCAAGGAGCACAAGAAGCGGCCACTCATCAATTACATGCGTAAGCGGCAGCAGAGAAAGCACAATGACAGCATCTGTGAGGACGAGGAGGAGATGCACGAGCACGAGGATGAGGGGGTACACCAGCAGCAGCAGACCCCAACGCTGGCGTCAGTCCTGCCCACGCAGCAGAGCTGCAAGGTGTGAGAGACACAAAGGGAGGGAGAGAGCGAGCGAGACAACTACACAGTACAGACAGAAACGACAGAAAAAGCCAAACAAATACAACAACTGCAATACGCAATGCCATATTTAACTGTAAAAAGGAAAAGCAAAAGCAAACACAAAAGAAATGGCGGCTGGGCAAGCGACGAGCGAGCAAGCGAGACAACTATAATAATCAAAATGCAACTGTACCCTTCCCACAGTGGCACTCCAGCATTTCCGCGTCTAGTGACGATGACCGACACACACAAATACACTACCATTTACAAATGAAAACAAGCCCGAAAAAACTTGATACCAATTTACAAGACCGTTTACTCTTATTATTATGTCCCCATACTCTTTTTCTTATATAACATTTTTTTTACAAAACTAAAAAAAAACAAGGAAAAACAACCAAGAACCTGCCTGGCCCCTCCGCTTTGACCTTATGCAAAACGAGAAAAAAAACGTGTGAAAAAAATACAATACACATTACATAACAAGGGAAGCAAAAAAGATGTTACCAGAAAACCAGAAAAATAATTTTCTATTTTGCGTACACGAGACTGAAGTAGAAAATGTTTAAGCAACAGATAATGTTTGTCTTTAGTTTTTGCTATATTTTCCCCAATTGGATCAGTTACAGGAATAACCTACGCGTATAGCTATATATTTAGAAATCCAACAAACAAAAAATCGGAAGAAGAAGAAATGCTTCATTGGCGCCATTTATACGAGTATATATGCTTTGGACCCCCGACTTTTTATTATATCCTTGTCTATATTAGACATTCCTATGTATTTATTGTAAAAAAATCAAACCAAACTGATCATTGCACAGTTTTTGGGTCAAAATATATTATATATTAGTGTTGAAAATGTTTCAAAAAGTTTATACCAAGTTAAACAATGCTTTTCTGTTATTACAAGTACCGAAAAATAAGCTTCAAAATAAAATATAATATATGTTACTTCGAGTTCAGACCCCAAACACTGTGCAAAAAAAAAGACGGAAAGATACAAAAAACAGCAAAAAAACCATTAAACATTTGCATTAGTCGGTTTAAGAGTAATTATTGATTTTTGAAGAATTTGCTTGCGGGTGAGAAAATTTTCAATTTACAAAAAATGTTATATATCATATATATTATATATTAATGTTTAATTTAAAAGATATACTATATTTAAACAATAAAAAACATACAAAAATTATATAAAATATAGAAGTGGTTGTTGGTTATATTTTATGGAATTTATGGGGAGTACTGTGTCTACCGTATGGCAATAAGACAAGGACGCTCTGGATCGAACCAGTTTATAAGGTTTACTTCTCAATAGTCTCGATTTGTGATTCTTCTGAAACTGGGTGTATACCGTAAACAAATTATACCGTTTATAAGGTGAAAGACCGACTTTGATTCTAATGAAAACATCATAGAACTTTTTCAGAAATTATTCACCACTTTCAACATGATTCTCCAAATGGTTTTTAGTTCCCAAATGTCGCCTATTACATTGAGGTAGGTTCCCATCTAAACTGGTTTAGTTTTTCCTCAAAAAAACCTTTCCCCTAATTGTTTAAACAAATCTTTACGGAAATCTTTCCGTCTCGCACCAGTTTGCTAATTGTGGCTAATATTTTGGAGACGAATGCCGCACCAAACGAACCCTCAGATGCAATAAAAAGTTAAATAGAAAATCAAGAATTTATATTATGGCTAAGGTCAGGTATATACTCGTAAATGCGAGTATCCAACCCTGAGACAGTAATGTGACCCCAATAAAAAGATATCCTTGACTTGACCTGGAACTTGAAAATGCCTGAGAGTGTTTGTAGAATGAATGGTTTCCTGCAAAATCCGCCCCAAATATAACCTCAATTATGTTAAATCCCGACTCAATTGGTTTCAATTGAATTAGAGCAACAGAACAGATGAGCTCAGAGCTAGCCGCACTCCAAGTACAAACACAACACAAAAATTGCTTGCATATTGAAATTGCTCTTTCTACTAAGGCCCCGACCGGGTGATCAAATTAATGAATACCACAACAGCACGCTATAGGAATACGAGTGTAAGTAGTATATATGTTGGTATGTACTGTACATGCACGGGGAGTAGGAATATCATTTACGGGTAGAGCGGTTAAGCATTGAGAAAAACAACACATGGCAGGCAGGCAGGCGGGAAGCCATAAATGCAATTTGTTTATACAATGAATTTGATTCATTTTAAATTCAATGTTAACTAGTTTTTCCAGAAAGGAGGGAGAATGAAACTAAATAAAAAGCAAGGGGAATGGATGAGTATATATAATTATTATTATAAGCAAGAGCTCTCTTATTACAATTATTCTTTTTGTGCGCGGAAACTGGAACCGAAACGAAAACGAAACAACACGTTCTATTATGTAATGCAAACGTGATTTAGTCGTAGAATTTTTATGTCGGATTTATTGTAGAGGTACATATGTATTTTCATGTATATCGAAAAATATAAACCTTCAAAAACGGCAATACTGCACATAGGAAAAGATAAGAACAAGGAATATCTAGAATGGGATTGCGGAGAATGAGGAAAATAATATTTATAGTTCTCATAAAATTAAAGGAAACCATGTCCCAAAAAATACTTCAATAGCCTGTGGATACTTTAGCAGATTAGTAGTTCTTTTCGTAGTAAACTGTGAAAATGTTCATGATAAATTCTTAGGAACTACTGTCAAGGATAAAATTCGTTAGAAATACTGCAATGCTATTATTGATCCGGTTTCAATCAAGTAAACTCCCATATTTTCATAATTCTTACCTAAAAATTCCTGCAAAATACTCTAACCTCTTTATTTGACTTTCTTTTTAGAGCAGTACCTATTTGTGAAACCCAATGCCTCTCATTTATATTAGCCAAAGTTTTGATGACTTAACAAGCGCCAGACGAACCGCCTCCCGATTTATGAGTTTTGTTTTTTGTTTTTGTTCAATTAACAACACAAATTAGTCCATAACTTTCTGGTGCTTAAAACCAAAAAGCTTTTCAGGCAGTGATATTATTGCTTTTTGTGGTGTATTGTCGCGCCAGTCGGCCAATTAGCACTCATTTGTGGAGCATTCAACGTGGCTTATTTGAAAAAACGTAGAGCCACGAGTGTGTTGCTAATTTTGAAAAATACTACAAAAGTGACGTAGTAGTCGCCAGGTGGCACGCTTCAAGAAAAGATTATGAAAATTTGTATTCCTTTCCATTCGCCATGGGTTTCTGTAGATATTTCTGGAATGGAGGCCCACATCCCCTGATAATACCAGTTTTTGTGGCCTGGGAATTGTGGAATCGTTCCCTGCATATGCATTGCGGTTTTCTAGGGTTTTCTTTTGCACTCGAAACCAAAGCGAAAGTTCGCTTTTCGAATTTACTTATTAAGAATTCTAACTTGGGGTTCACTCAGTACAGTTCCAAAGTTGATTCAGTGATGTGAAGGTTAAAACAAATTAGCGAAAACATTTCTAATGAATTTCCATAAGTCTGCACACACAAAAATACCGCATAGTACAGAAGGATAGGCCTTCAAATTATTTAAATTAAATACATCTTGTATGGGAAAGTGTGTAAATCTAGCAGAAAATATTCCTCTCAATTGTTTTCTATACAAATAAACTAACAAAATGTTGAAACGTTTGCTGAAAAAACTGAAAAATCCTTCAGAAGGCAGTTCTAAAGGTAAATAAGGGACAATGAATACTTAAACGTGGATAAAACAACAAAAACTTAAATATTTCGATAAAAAGGGGGCTCTAATGTTTAATTTATGTTTTTAAGCCCTATTTGGAAAATCATACATCATTTTTAGAACCCAATTACTTTCAAAATAATACCCATAATCACTTAACCTCATTAAATTTCGATTTGTCGAGTGTTTAAATGTCGGAGAATCGTATTATTCTAATTTTTAATGGCTGTTTAATTAGGGAAATACCTATAATTCCCGGAAACAGTACGTATCTATACCTGAAATCGTGTTAATTTCGGGGAAATTCACCTAAACTCAAGGAAAAGATCATTGAAAAGTCATTTAGGCCGTTCAGAAAACCGTATTAACTTATGAATACCCATCCTACCTGGCTCATATCCATATGTATCTATCAACAATTACCTGAACTACAATTTCTTTGGTATACTCGTACAACCATGTGATATAAAGATACGATACTTTCCCATTTATAAACGAGTTTCCAACTAAAACCTGTCTAAACCACTCGGAGATTTGTTAAGCATTTCATTTACTAAATTGGGGCTTGCTCACAGGTTTGTATTACGTTTTCCACAGGTGCCACAGCTCGTAGATTTCTCACAGCGTATACGTGCGCCTTGTCTTGTAATACTCCACTTTGTTTACAGTTTTATTTACTTGTTAATTGATTCATAATATAATCATGAATTCTTGACCTTAAGCAATGCCTGCCGGAATGATCTCATATTCAAAAGTGTTATCGCCAGCATTTTTTACTCTTTTCAAGGAGAAGGTTCTATAGATTTTTAGCAGAGGTCTGTAAATCCGAAAAGGTAGTGATTTTTAAGTATGTTTTTTGTTTTTTAGAGCAAATTCTACAACAGTAGCAAAAAATAACAATTTAATTTTGATGAGACCCTTAATGTGGGTTTATATATTATATAGAAGTCGAAAACATTACAATAGAATCTTTTCCATAAGAAACTTCAGTGAAAAAACCAAGTAATTGTACGAAAATCTTGTTGGTTTCTAAAGATAATACATTCAAGCGCCTCAATCCAAAATTTTCCATGTGTTGCGCGTCATGCAGAAACGCCCAACGGTCGGTGGGTTGGGAGTTGGTCTATGTTTGTGCGTAGTATAGGCGCGAAACAAGTTTCGTCTTGATATTCCCCGGCATTAGCTTTCTTCTATAAGTGAACGACCTCATTATAAATCTACCCTACCCTACACACAAACGACCTTCAAGCCTATCATAGGTACCCTTTTTTATATGTTGCTACACTTTTTACGCCTTTTGCAGGCTGATTAATCATTTTTTCCAAGTGCTGTCCCACCCCCATATCAACCCTATCTTAATAAATTATTCACACTCATATAAATGTTGTACAAATTGTTATTGCAGCCCATAAGGATGGCAAGAGATTGGGCATGAAAGGCACTTTCATGTGCGAGCCAACGGCCTGTAAATGTGGCAAGAGGCGACAGCAGCAGCAGCAACAACTGAAATTATTGTTGTCCCAACTCCGAAGACGCGATAACTTATCAAGTGTTATATTATTTTAGTACGACCCGAACAGCAACAAATAAAAACAAAAGATTCCCACACACTTATCTACAAAGTATTTTTAACTGAAACGAAAAGATAGGAAACGTACTCAAAAGATATTGCGTCTGGAGTGATGTGGATGTGGAATGGATAGACAAAAATAAGTCTAATCGTGGAGGGACAACGCGGAAGGCCGCTCGACCTGCGCCTCGAGGGGATTGCACAACACGGGGATTAAACAATCGAGAGAGCCACTGCCCAAGGGCTCCCTCCCCATTGAAGTGGCTGCGGGCGCCGATTTAAAGCCAAAACATGTGAGGGAGTGCCTCTCCAGAAAGAGTACTCTACTACTGTAACGTTCCTTGGGGATCGGTGGCGACTCTAGGGTACAATAACACTTCTTGGAACTGGCTTCGACAAGTTCTTGTCTTGTGATTCCTTCAATCAAGTGTCTTTCACTACAAAATATTATAAAACATTGTAATTACTCATGGAACCACGGGAATTGATTATTAAATACGTCGTATATTAAGTGATAGTTGCGACATCTTGCTGTTAGGAATGGTCTTGTGTAAAGCTCTGACAGATAGAGTGCTATTCTTGGAAGGTTAAGTGCGGAGGCACCTTCTGTCCCTATCTGGTAGCTACTTGGCTATCGAAATTGTTAAGAAAGGTCGAATATATACTGTAGAACATGGAATACTAATAGTATAGTATGGATTATATGCTATAAAATATTTTAATATTAATAACGAAACTAATGATAGATCTGTAGTTACTAAGTTATACACTAAAACTTTACATGCGTTCAATTTAATAATAAATTACATCTACTGGCAAATTGAAAGATAAATCTTTAAAAAATTACAGAACTTAGAGCTCAAAGCAATTGCTATTCTATATATTACCAAATTCGAAAGATAAATCTATATAAAATCCAACAGAAAAGAAATAAAACCTCTCAAAGAAACTCTTCTAGTCCGATGACTATTTTACAAATGCTTATAGCAGCCCCTCCTCTAAGTTAAATAAAGATTACATGACCTCATTGTATCACAAAACTTATATGAGGCTTACACATAGTTGCAATAAATGCTTGATATGCCACAAAGGCATTTAGAAGCGCTCTACGGACTTCAACTTTAAAGTTGCGTGGATTTCATCCTTTAGCTAGAAAAGATACTTTTAGAGAGGGTAGACGTTGGTAGCCCTTAGGAATTTTAATCGGGAATCGGGAGAAGCTTCAATAATTTGTTCCTCAATAGCGCACGAGGAATCTCAGGAACTATCAGTCTTGGCATAGAAAAAAGGAAATAAAAAAATCTTTTAACCAATTTCCCCTGACATTAATCAGAACTTATGCATTACAGGAGGAATATTTAAAATAACTCTTTCTCTAAGTCTAAGTTCCCATCTCATTTTATAGGGTATTAAAAACCCTTAGCTACACCTTCTATATTTCTTTGTTGGTTTGCCGTCGGATACTAGAATTTTACTGGAATACACGTGCCCCCTTCTTTTGCATCAGGCCATAAATGCTATAAGCAAATAGAAAAGCCAAGGTATACGATTAAATAGATATGATAAGAAGCTCCCACAATCACACAATTGATTGGAGCACAGTCGTTGGGGAGGTCTTTGATACGATTCGACTTAAAGGCCGCGATAAAAAGGCTTTTTTGTTGAATTTTGATAAAGAATTGGAAAAAGAAATATTGAAAAATGGAAAAGTGGGTCTTAATTATATGATAAAATTTGGAAATATAATAAAAAGAGAATTGGAAGTAAAGAAAAATAATGAACGAGGGCTAGGAGATAGATCTAGAAAAGAAAGATTGAATCTTAACCGGATTTTGAGAGAAAATCAAGCGAAAACGATTGAATCTTAAAGGTATTTCGAATAAATAAAGATTAATCAAGAGAAAATGGAATCCTGCATGTATTCTCATTATAATAGAGAAAATCAATCGGAAACGATTGAAAAACGATTAAAGGGTTTCCCATTATTCCGTGATGGAATGCTAAAGATATTAGGATTATCTTTGAGATCAACATGCTCTAAGGCCAATCTAATCGTTCCCTCTTCAACCTCTTCTCTCTTCCCATAGAAGTCTCTAGTAAAATTCTCTATTTTTTTAAGATATTAGCAGACAACTAAATTGTCTAAACAAACATTAAAATGTCACAAAAACGTAATCCCCAGAAAAGAGCAGGCATTATAAAGTTGTAGCAAAGTACCAAAGCGCGTGTGGCAAAAAGACAAGAAAAACGACAGACGACTATCACGAGATAATATTTGTAGAGAGACAATAGCCAGAGAAAGAGCTCTTTGCCCTCTCTCCAGAGAGCAAATACATCACGAGATCCAAAATCATATTTGTAGAGCGATACCAGATTGAGTTTCTGCAAATATTTGTAGGGGAAATACAGTTTGTTGGAAAGTTTTCTGGGTTGGAGCTCAACACCCCGCTCCCGCTCCCGCTCTCGGTCTCAGCGCTGATTACTTTTCCGGGTAATCGCTGTGATTGTGGGATGTCCCCCAATTCCCTCCCTTAAGTTATTGGCTAATCAAAGCGAAAGTGTTGATAATTATTGTAGAGGCGATGGCAACATGAAATCGAAACTATCGTCAGCTAAAAGAAGGGAATCGTGTGGGCATTTCTTTAAGGCAATAAAGGCCCCCATCCTTGCGTCAAAAGTAGACCAAAATGATAACCTAATTGATAACAAGTTAAGCAATCAAAATGTGCACCCATTGGGCAATACTACTCACCCTCAATAGCCAGGTGAGAACGCTCTCCCTATACGGAACAAAGGTGCTGGGCGTCGAGGGTCCATTGCCGCCGCCCGCTTTGCGTCCATCTGCCAGGGCGGCAATGACTTTTCCCAGTGTCAGGAGGCTCTTGTTGATGCTAACGCCCTCGCGTATCCTCTCGCCATTCGATCCCGAGACACTGATGCGTTCGCTGCCAGCCAGATCAACGAGACTGATTTTACTCCTGCGCGTTTGTCTTAGAGAGGCAGTGCTCTCAGAATCCGTATCCGAGGTCAAGCCATCATCAGTGGAGAGATCTGTGAGGTTCAGAACAATGTTGAAGATGGAGTGAGAGCGCGAGCTCTTGTCGTTCATGGCCGTGGAGGCGGTGGCCCGCTGGGAATTGCCCACCGCTAGCCAATTGCGTAGCGCTGAATAAGAGTCCACCGAGTGGGCACTCAGATCCACCACATAGGGTCCGAAAATGGGATGCTCTCGCACTTTTAGAGCCGGTCGCTGATGTTGCACAGGCGTGGAGTCAACCGAAGAGGACGTCGCATGTTGCACACTCAACAGGTCGTGGATCTTTTCGTTGTAGATCTCGAAATAGCTGACTTCCACTTCCACCTGGAGCTGCTGTTCTGCCTTGACGGCCTCTATTCTGCGGAACAGCTCGTGGCAGAAGCGGGGAATAATCCCAGCCTCGTCATGTGGTGGTCCGCCATCCAAGGCGGCATCATCCAAAGCCTCTATGCCCATCATGCTGTAGGATTTGCCGGAGCCCGTCTGGCCATAGGCAAACAAGCAGGCATTGTAGCCATCAAAGGCGGTTTCTATTAGAGGACCGGCTGTGCCCTCAAAGACTTTCGCCTGGCCGGCATAGTTCTTCTTCTCCGGATCGCAGGAATAGTAGACTTGATCGTAACTGAAGAAGTGGGTCACACCGGCGGAAGCGTCGGCACTGCTGCCTGCCTGAACGGTGAGCTCGTTGCTGTTGCCATGGACCTGCACCACATTCGTGACCTGTTGTCGATTACATTCCTGGGCATTTAGGGGGCGCACACGAACGGCCACAATCATGTTGCTCTCCTCGGAGGCACTGTGAAAGGAGTCCATCATCATGGCGTCTTTGTCTTTCGGTTTGCTCGAGCTGGATTTTCCACTCGGAGTTTTCATTCTTGCGGCCGTGGGTCTATAAAGAGAGGACGGGGTATAGCAGGCATTCAAGGCTGTGGGTCTTAGCTTATGCTGCGGGGAATTCACGGAATTGCTGAAGGCCGTGTTCAGGAGCTGCTGCTCCTCGCTGCTCTGTCGTGGCGTCTTTGTTAAGACTTTTCTTCGCAGTCCACCGCTGGCATCTGACACCGGCGTCGATTTTTGGGCCATGCTCCCGCTACCGCGGGTTTGGAATTGCTGGATGCGCTGACGCACTGGCGTGCTCTTGTTGCTCATATTTTAATTAATCGTTGAGCTATTATTATTAATAAAGAATGGAAATGCTAAAAGTTTCAAATTCAAGCGCGGCGTCGTTTGTTGATCAGTTTTCATTCTAGTGACGTGACGCAGTCGATAACAGGCAGGGCTGCTTGGATGGAAACATGTGTGGTGAAATAGTCTGGCAGCGCTGTCCGCTCACGATAGAGATGGGCTGGAAATCCGGTTGATTTATTTATATATGTACTCATGTATTTTGCAACAGAGTACGTTGTTAATACGTTAGTACGTTATATATTGTATATGCATGGTTTGTAATATCATGCACCCTTAAAACAATCGTTTCCCGATAGTTGCCCATTTCATCGAGTATGTCCATTCGATAACAGCTGACGGAGTGCGTAGACAAAAGTAAATATTGTTTAAAATAATTTAATTTAGACATAACAAAATAAAAGGCTATACTTAAATGTACTTAATCTTTAAAAAAATTAAATTATCAATGGCCAATAATTAAGTGGGTAGTTCTGAAGGATTTATAAAGCCAGCATTATTCAACAGAATATCAAAATCGAGGAATAGGAACGATTACTCTCTTAGGTTTTTTTTTGTTTGACCTTAATCGCTAAAACCTTTTTTAGGGGAAATCCAATAATAGTAAGTATTTAAATTGAACCAGAAGTAGTAGAAAATAGTTTCATTAATTGGATAAAATTATGTGGGCAGAGCTGAAGGTTCTATCTAGCTAGTAATATTAAACGAAATATAAAAATCGAGGAATATGGTTTCCAATCCTTGACGGAGAACGATTAACCCATTTTGAGCCAACAGGGTGATTTCAACATTTCACCGAAAGTAATGAAAATTTAATAGCTTTAGTGCAGTTCAGGTTAATGATATCGTGGTTTTGTTTAAGTTCAGAGGAAAGAAAAAAAGATGGCATGGATCTACAAGAAGAATATACAATCAATAATATTTTCCGCTGTTTACCTCAAGTCGTTGAACTGTTTAAATAGAGGGTGTTAAGTGGGCTAAGTTCGATTTCTTATCGATATACGAGATATACGTAGACAAAAGTAAATATTGTTTAAAATAATTGAATAAGCTTGCATTGTGTACTGTTGCTTGTCTCAATGCTGTTTGAACGAAACTAAACTAATCGTGCTACACTTTGCATTAGTTCGGCGCAACAGCTGATAGTCGATAAATCACACTGCATACGACTGCAATTGTTGTTAATAATTTCCTTGCTTTCTCGCCCCCCCCAGCCGTATAAATACGTGTATTTAAGCAGCAGGTTTTGCATTAAGTGTAAAACAGTGCAGGCGCGTGCAACCACACAAACACCTCTCCAATCAGATCATCGCCAGAACCGCAACAGCAGCCAGACAGCTCCAGATATCAACGAACGCCAGCCAGCATCCCAGAAATGTCTCAACAACCTGTTGCTTTCCTGACCCGCCGCGAAACCTTTAGCGCCTGCCATCGCCTGCATAGGTGACGACCCCCCGATCCCCAGCCAATGAATCAAATCAATTCAGTTGATTCAATTATATTTTGCCGCAGCAATTTAGTTCAATTTATTGACTCGTTCGTTCAATTTCTTTGCAGCCCCCAGTTAACCGATGCCGAGAATCTGGAAGTGTTTGGCAAATGCAATAATTTCAATGGCCATGGCCACAACTACACAGGTGAGTGCCAGACATCCCAACACCCGACAGCACAAAAGCATTCATTTTAATGCATGATTAGTTTGCAAATCGACATCGGTATCGTTTAACAACTGGCTTTAATCAGATATAACCCAGTGACGGCTGGAAATATGAGACACAAAAAATACCTAACCATAGAAAACCTTGGCCAACAATCTCGCTTATCAAACCAGCATTCAAGTTCAACGCTCAGAGAGGCATACAAATGATATTATTAGACGGGGGAATAGATAATGATTGCGGTTGGGAGTGATCAGGGTTTATTGCTAGTTTGGGATATGGATTTTCGGACAATGTTCGTAGGGAAATACAGGAATACAGGCTGGATCGGGGCTTAGGCTAAGGATTCTCCATAAATATCTCCTTGTGTCATCCCGTTGTAACATCAGCAGGGAACAGGCCTTTATAAACATTTATTTAAAGACAACCATTCGTTTTTCAATCGATATGGGTATCTAAAACGAACATTATTGAAGAATTCGTGGTCCCATTGGTCCCAAAGGTACTCTCAATTAATCTGCTCCTTCTTTCCTGCCTCTTTCAGTGGAGATAACCGTTCGTGGACCCATTGATCAACGCACTGGAATGGTCCTAAACATAACCGAACTCAAGGATGCCATTGAGGCAGTCATAATGAAGAATCTAGATCACAAGAATCTCGATAAGGATGTGGAATACTTTGCCAAGACAGTACATTTTATCAGTATCAATAATATTAGCCCAAATAATAATGATCCTTCCTTTTTAGCCCAGTACAACAGAGAATCTAGCCGTTTACATTTGGAACAACATACGGCTGCAGCTAAAGAAGCCCGAACTCCTGTACGAGGTGAAGATCCATGAGACACCAAAGAATATAATTAGTTATCGCGGACCCTATGCTCTCAATGGCATTTATAATCCTATAAACAAGCGCATTGCCCATGATTCCTGTACCAATATATCGTCCGATTCGGATTAGAGAACGGAAGACAGACTGAGAGAGAGGTATGTGCCCATTGCCTCACGAATTTTATGTTGGACCCTAATTCTCAGTGAATACACGAAAACATTCATTTAAACTCAAACAAGAAAACAAAAAGAATTAAAAACATTTAGTTTTATACAAGTTATACGAATTACAAAGTATATAGCAATCGATTTTTTATATATATACTATATGAATTATGCAAGCATTATATCCAATAAATTATAAAGCAATTCATTGTGAGATATTCGTCAATCGTTTATTAACAATTACATTTATAGTATACATTCTATAATCTATGAATAATTATTATCATTTCGTCTTAAGTTTATTGCTCTATATGGCAGGCTATACTTTTTGGTTTTCTATGGATTATTATTGGCTCTTTGTTTGTGTTGAGCAGGCTAAAAGGCGGTAATTTTAGGCATTCCTTATTCTCCCTTCAACACTAATTTATATCACGTTGCGTACTCGTTTAGTATGTCTATTGATTAACTTTTGCGGAGACAGCTGCTCCTAGTCCCCTGAAATCTTGCTTAATCCGTGCTTGTAGTCGTGATCCTGCTGCAGGTATAGTCTGCAGTAGTTAAGCCAATCTTTTGTATCTGTGGGATTCAGGCAAATGGCATTTTGAAAACATATTGTGGTTTTTTGAGCAAACTTCTACTTCGGATTAGTCGTTAGTCGTGTGTTAGTAATGATTTGGCTAAGGATTAGTAAGGGGTTAGAAGGCTACAAATCAGGTACGGCAAATGGGAACAAATTAGGAACCCTCTTTCTTTCTCTGGAAGTCTTTGGGATGGACTTATAAACATATCACAGTCTGTTTTGGATGCAGGAAAAAAAACATACATTCTGCTAGACTCTGGGAACTCTCCTTGGGTTAAGCGGAATATCGTACTTACTCTTTGGGTTTTTTTTTTTTTGGGATATGTTTTTGCATTCTACACAAATTTATAGTTTTGTATATCCTAGTTTTTGGTTTTTGCACAACAAACCTTAAGGCTTTAACAGACTTTTGCTCCTCGCAATACAACCAACCGTCTCCTCAACCGTATACCGTATGCTACTATATCTAAAAAAAACTGTGCGCTACCAATACTTATTTCTATTGTTTTAACCACATTACGATCTTTAAAGCACATTTCCACTCTAGTTTTTTGGTCATTTGTTTGTTGTTGTTGCTGCTCTCCTCAGATGGTGCTGCGTAGAGTCTTACCTGGATTCCTAATTGATATGAATGGTATGCCGAACTCAAACTCGTTCTTTGGCCAGTACTTGAGCAAAGGCTGTCGCTGGGGCAGCTCCGATTCCACATAGAAGTAGGCGAATAGCACGAGGACCGTATAGGCGGCAATGAAGATGAATATGTGCCAGAATCCATGCAGATATGGAAAGTTAATGGACGACCAGGCCTCGCAGAACATACGATCGTTGATCCAGCAGAAGACAGCCACAGCCCACACGGTTGTGCAACGGATACCCAAGCGATAGACCCTCTGATCGCTGACTCTGTCGGGGGTTGAAAAGAGGCAGAACAACGGAATTAGACGTTAATTGATAAGTGGCTTTGATAACAGACTTCCACGTTAACTGACGTTTGATTCTTGGAAACTGTCTGTACGATTAAAGTTTCAGGGGTTCCTGAACTTTCGCAAGAAGGTAGGAGTATCAATAGCCGATGTTTGTACAATAAAGTGTGCTAAAAACGAAAGTAACTTTTCTAAGCAGAAGAAAATGTAACAATCTAATGGCGTCAGCAAATAACGTCATAATAACCATAACTAAAGCTATGGTTATGGATCGAGGCACACGTGCCATACACCTGTACTCTCAAATCATTACATCATTCACTTAGAGAGTTTTGAAGCGTTGAAAATCCCATTAAGGAGACCTTTTTGGAACAGAATTATGATTTAAAATGTTAGTTGTAGTCATGTCTCAGATAAATGCGGTGTTTCGAGCTCTGTTTCTTACAATATGCCTGTGTTTCTTGCTCAAAACGCATGTAGCCGTCCAGCAAAAATACTTTGTAAAGAGTTCTTTGTGCCAAATACCCTACATCGATCCATTTACTGCCGATATCATGAAGGACTTTGAGAAGCATACGTTGAAGGAGTGCCACAACGACAGCGATCTGGTGACAAGTCAATTTGACTTTAAGCTCAATCAATATCGCCTTCACATACACGAGAATATGGCCAAACGTATGCTGAAAGGATCAAAGGGTAATGCTACCTTGGAATGCAAGTATCAAAAGATCGGGAGAAATGAAATATATGAGATTCCCGACAATTCCTACAGGTAGGTGGATATTTGAAGCATAAAATGTATGCCAGAACCTTGGATTAGGTTGTATTTTCGTTTAGAGAGTTTAAGAGCGTTCCTCTACCAGACAACCTTTTGGTGCCAAAGCACACGGACTTTATGATCACCAAATGCTATGTGAAAGAGCAGAAAAAACCGCCGAAACTTCTCCAAACAGATGGCCTGACATTCATCGAAGATCATCTGAGAAAGGAGGAGGCAAAAGCGTATGCCAAACAGCAGCAGAAGAACCCCAAGCCGAGTGTCCTTCTCATGGGACTGGACTCCACTTCACGCATGAATCTAAGACGAGCCATGCCCCTGGTCTACAAATTTGTGAGTCAACCAGGATGGTTCGAGATGCAGGGCTACAGCAAGGTGGGGGACAACACCTTTCCCAATCTGTTGGCTGTTCTGGCGGGACACTCCCCAAAAACTCTGGCGAAAATGTGTAACGTGACGAAGAGTGGCTGCCTGGACACAGCGCCCTTCGTTTGGAAAAGATTCAAGAGCTCAAACTACACGACAGCCTTTGCCGAAGACTGCAGAGCGATTAATACATTCAACTACCTTTTGCCGGGATTTCTACAGCAGCCGGTGGACTACTATCTGCGTCCCTTCCTCGTGGCGATTGAGGAGAAGTTTCCCGTGACCAAGGAGTTTGGATTTTCCTTCTGTGTGGGCCGTCGTTTGAGCTTCGATTATGTGTGGAACTTTGGCAAGCAGTTCATCGATCGATTCTTAAAAAAAAACCCCTTCTTTGGTTTCCTGTGGAGCAACAGCTTCACCCACAACTTTTTTACAGCGGCCACCGCTTTGGACGCGCTCTTGCTGAAGCACCTTCATTCCTTTGAGGTGGCAGGACTCTTCAATCATTCAATTGTGATCCTAATGAGCGATCATGGGCAGCGCTATGATACCCTGAGGGGTGCGGCATCGGGATACTACGAGGAACGATTGCCCATGATGTTTATCTATGTTCCGCCCTGGTTCCGTAAGAAGTATCCCCATCTGGTGGCTAATCTAGTTAAGAATCGCAATCGGTTGTCCTCCAACTACGATTTACACATGACCTTGCATCATCTCCTACAACTGGAAAGCACCTCCATGGCAGATTTCGCCAAAAAACACAGATCTGTGGCGTGTCCAAGCTGTCAATCGCTGCTCTTCGAACTACCCCTCAACCGGTCATGCCAGCAGGCCGGCATTGAGGAGAAATGGTGCTGCTGCAATCCCGTTAAGACCCTCGCCAAGAAAACCGACTTTGTAAGGACCATTGGCTTGGCCGTGGTCCAAAAAATGAACGAGCACCTGAAGAAGCGGAAATTCACGCGCAAGTGCCACAACTTCACCCTCAAGAATATCCACAAAATGGATCGCAGGTTGCACTTACCCATGGGCACTAACACCACGGATAAGGACGAACGTGTGTACATCATGCAGTTCTGGACACGCCCAAATATGGCGCTCTTTGAGGCCACGGTTCAATGGAACCATCACCAACATAAACTCCATATGGATGTGGATGATCTGAGCAGATTGAATAGGTACAAAAACCAGTCCGAGTGCATTGATGACAAGAATGCAAAGAAATATTGCATCTGTAAGGATAGCATAAGCAATATAACGAGGATCCCCAAAATTATTAGCAAAGTAAAACGTTTTCCAGGGCTAAAATAAAGTTTAAAGTGGCAAAAAAGTCTTATTTCTATTGGGTTTAGTCAATGGTTGTAGATTTAAGAGTGGAACCTGAGTTTATATACGACTAAATACAGTCTGAAATCTGTAAAACTATCTGCAAAACACTTCCCCGGACATGCAGCAGAACTCCTCGGCCGGTTACTTTGTTTCTGCGTGGCATAACATATTATGATACAGTAAAACACATCTTAAAGTGCTGCTAAGATAAAAAATACCCCAAACATACATAGTTTAAACCATTTTCAGCAGCATTTTGAAGAGGAAAACGCCTTTAAAACTTTATACCAAACAGTAGTGTAGGAGTAGTAGGAGATAAACCCATCAAACCCTTCAACATTTTATGACAACTATAAAACCCACAGAGACTGTCGCTCAAACAGTAGTCAATCTTCCATTGTAAAACCGTTCGGTGCGGCCTTAAGTGGGCCGACTTCAGGCTTATCTATACGACACTCGAAAGTCGAGTGGTAAAACTCTAAAACCATTATAATGATTGATTAATAATTGAGAGTTTTCCGCAAAGAGAGCGCAGGGAAAGCAAACAGACGGCGAGGGAACTGATTGCCAAACAGAGTTCAGGAGAAACAGATTTCCATTCAGGAAACAGCGAAACACCTTTCCGCACACCGAGTAGGGAAGCACCATTTCCGTTTGATCTTTGACATCTACCACATGATGACACAAAAATATAGTAAAAATTTAACAAACATTGCGATAAGGTGGAACTAATTTCACAATCGATGTGGAGAGAAACAGGCGGTTCGACGCCTACGCGTACACCTGTTCCCAGTTTAGATATCGCACACAAGGCACAGACATTACCACACCGATAAGGCGGATGACTGATGATAGATAGATGATTTATGGGGGCTCTGATTCGGCGGGGTTCGTTTCGGGTCAGAGCAAACGTTGGCTGAAGGTGGTTACCTCTGAAGCTCCCTGTAGAGCATTAGCATGGTCGGCACACCCATGAACATCAGTACAAAGGCATTAACGACAGGCTTCCACCAAGATAGTGCCGTGGCAGCAATCGCCGAAAGCAGCATGAGCCAACTAAAGGTTTTCCTAAAAGATAAAATAAAATAAGGTGGTTAGGTTTTTGTAGATAGTAAAAGTCTTTGTTTTTTTTTGGCACAGGCACTCACCGATCGTTCTTCACAAACTTGGGATAGTAGCGCTTCGGATAGAACAGCGAGAAGGCCGCCATAAAGACCCAGAGTATGGCCAGTTCGTCAAGCAGTTGGCCAATCAGACTTAAGGTGGCATGAAAGTACATTGAACTGAGTCCAACGACGATTAATAGAAGCCATATCACATGGATGCCAGGGGTCACAAATCGTCCGTACTCCTTGAACAGCATCATCAGCACAGGGGGGAGAAGAATGAATAGGAAATTGCTAAACTGTGGATTGAAAGTAAATGGACATTAGAGGTCGATATAGTAAGGACTTTACAGTGTGACAAACAATGAGTTCCCATTCATGATCAAAGTTCTTTCATACTCATATTTTCAACCAAAGAGTTCTTTACACCAAACAGTAACCCATCCTTTGTCTCCAATGTCTTTATTTTGTACGTGTCATTCCAGCTTGTCACGTAAATTGCAGAGCAAATTGAATTAAATGCAATTAATAATTATTTTGTGTGGGCAACAAAGCGAGAAATGAATCAATTATCACATCTACTATATGGTGGGGAAAGCATTTACATATTCATGTTCTATGGAAATAATTGATAACGAAATGGGGCTAGAAAAGGGGAGAGTCACTCCAGATTGTATCTTCCATATATACATTTTATTACAGCTCTTGACTTTTGTGATTTCATCAAAAGTAAAGCCGCTTTCTTTTGTTGTGGAGTGGAGTGCAGTCAGGGCAGGGGGTCATTCACTTTTCTGTAGCAACTCCATTAAAACAAAGGCCAAAATGCGTTTTAAACAACAGTCCCACACAGTCCCTGCCCCTGACGCTTACTCACGACAACGAAAATCAATTAAAAGTCTGACCAACCGACCGATTATCGTTAGCAAACGGAAGGCCCAACCACCAGGCGTATCATCAGTAATTCCCTTTGCTGTTCTATAATACACCATTATCCAAAAGTCTTCTATTTGCCCCCATTTGTCAGAATACACAAAGAATTGATGATAGTGCGTGAACATAATATTACGAGTCCATTAAGTGGCGGTATAATCGTAGAGAGTGCTCTAGATTGATAACCTTTTTGGGGGTCAAAGTTTTTAAAAACATTGCGGGAATTGTATAATTATTTCTAAGCAATAAAATATATGCAATTGTTTGTGAAATAAGTGTGAAAAGTGTAGGGTTTGAGGGGATAACATTAAACTTTTACATAGAGGTGCGATATTAGGTGCAAATGTACCTAAAGGGGTTCGCTTTGTAATTTTTATACCCGATACTCAAAATGAGTATTGGGGTATATTAGATTTGTGGTGAAAATGGATGTGTGTAACGTCCAGAAGGAATCGTTTCCGACCCCATAAAGTATATATATTCTTGATCAGCATCAATAGCCGAGTCGATTGAGCCATGTCTGTCTGTCCGTCCGTCCGTCTGTCCGTCTGTCCATCTGTCCGTCCGTCCGTCTGTCCGTCTGTCCGTCCCCTTCAGCGCCTAATGCTCAAAGACTATAAGAGCTAGAGCAACGATGTTTTGGATCCAGACTTCTGTGATATGTCACTGCTCCAAAAATATTTCAAAACTCTGTGGCATCCACAATTTCGACGATACGAGAAAACTAAAAACGTAGAATCGTAGAAGATGACTATATCTTCTAGAGTGCAAAATCTGAACCAGATCGTATAATTATTACAGCCAGAATCACGAAAACAATTTCACTCTTTCTCGCTCTGTCTCACTCTAACACACAGGTTTCATAGTCGGTTTTGCCAATTGCAAAATATGAGTTCAAGGATCTCAGAACCCATAAGAGCTAGAGCAACCAAATTTGGTATCCACACTCCTGTGATATCGGACCTTGACCGTTTTGTGTCCAAATTTCGCCACACCCCCTTCCTCCCCCGCAAAGGACGAAAATCTGAGGCAACCACAAATCTCAGAGACAATTAAGGCTAGAGTAACCAAATTTGGTACACACACTCCTTTAAGATGTCACTATAAAACGTATATCTCAGAATTTCGCCCCACCCCCATCCGCCCCCACAAAGGACGAAAATCTGTTGCATCCACAATATTGCAGATTCGAGAAAATTAAAAACGCAGAATCATAGATAATGATCATATCTATCAGATTGCTGAATCTGAATCAGATCAGATCATTTTTATAGCCAAAAGGAACAAATCAATTTGCAGTGGCTACGCAGCGCCCAACGTCACGCTCAGACTGATTTTCTGTCTCTCTCGCACGCATTCTTTGTCGTGTCGTTTAATATTAGCGGCGTATGCCGGAGGAGAGCCATACTGACTTAGTATCGGGTATAACTGTAGAGTTGCGGTGTCCGCAGCAACTCACAACGTTCCCCCTCGTTTGTGGTTCGTTTTTCTTTAACCAATGATAAACCTCCGTTAAATATCTCTTTGGGTAAACGTCTTCTATGTATATCCTGACACCAAGTTCCTAAAAAATTAGGCAATTATGTACTGGTCAAAACTATACGTCATATTAAAGATATTCCATCTATTCCTCCTACTTCCCCTAGGAATAACCAACATACACATAGACAAAGATCTTTGTCTAACACTTCGAGTGGACTTCATGGCGTCATAGGTTTCTTCTTTGTTTATTGAAGCCCCAGCTCTGTGGGCGGTAAAGGGTTGTTCCGATTATTATTTGATAAGAAGGAATAAAAGTGAGTGAGACGCAGTACCGGGTACCATCCCCATCATATAACGGGGGAAACTTCAGCACTGCGTAGTTTAAAGGAAAATCCATAAATATTTAGACTGTAACCCGTACCCTCCTGGTACCCGTACATACCCTTCCCTTGAGGCGATAAGAAACTAGAGGCTCCTACAAAATGTCGCACTGCGAAAACCCACTTGTGCATAAGGAAAAACTTGCCCCCCTATAGAAAACCCCTGCAAAAGCGTGTCAAACAGCCTTGTTCTCATTTCCACTTCCGCTTACATTTGTTTAAAAGGGAATGAATTATTATACAAGAAAAGGCTGTTATTTGTGTGATAGCATTTTTGGTTGGACTTTACACTGAACGCTTTATAATCCTCAAAGATTAAGACATCAGTCGCCTTTTCTTAATTCCACTTTCAACCGAATTCTGCGAAAAAGAAACTGGGAACAAGAAAAATCACCATTTGCATGCACCTCTTCAGCACCTGCCGCCATCCTCTTTCTTCTCCCAAGGCGAAGCGTGGCTAACAGCATCATTACATTCGCATTACATATGGTCTCGCTCTGGCCTGTGGAAAAAGGTCAAGGCCTGGCACAGCGCGTGTTTGAGCTCACACACACAGAGTGAGTGTGTGTGTTTGTGTTTTGAGTTCTAGTGTGAGGCAAAATTGCAGCTGCCTTTGTTACAGTAGAGCCGAAGACAGAGACGAAGGGCTAGACACAGGTGTCGAAGTGTTTTATACCCTTTGAGATTGTTTACATCGATGGAAGTTCTCAGATTTGGATCAAACTTCGGTGGGCCATAAACAATCAAATGCAGATTCTTGAGTTTTATTATATTATCTTTACAAACAAAATAGTTAACACAAAGAGCTGTTCTTGAAAAGATTTTTATTAAAGAATATAGACGATAGACATTCGGATCAACAAAAATATATTTGCATTATTTTGTCTTCTCTATTGGCAAACATCTTCTCAAAATCATGCTACCTTCTCTGCAAGACTTCAACACAATAACTAGGGCAAAATCACTCACACACACACTCATATGACGGTATATTTATTTACACAACATTTATCTATTATATATTTAAAATAAATTGCTTATACGCACCGTATTCACAAACTCGGCTATATTCGATGATATTAAATAATTGCCCTCACACCAATCAACGGGCGAACTTCCGGGTCTGAGATGCTCCCAGGCTATGGCATAGATGTCCAATAAACCGCCCCCTCCCACACTGCCCAGCCCTCCGCCACCAGCACCACCCATACTGCTGCTGCTTCAGGTCTTTGTTCGAAATTGAAAGAGTTCAGTTCTTAAATTATTTTAGTTGCCGCGTTGCAAACTCGATTTGATGTGTTATTTTCGCTGTTTTATGCGAGATGAAGGCACTTTTTAAGTTCTTTGTTGTTGTTGTCGCTGCAATTGGCATAATTCGCGCAGCACTGCAGTCATTTGCGTTTCTTTTTTAATAATTTCGTGACCTGCATTTATTTTGCCGCGCCTCTATTTCGATAATTATATAAGAAACGGTAAATTCTGCTCTAGGGGTTGACCTTCTATCCTATAAATTACTCAAGCGTACAAAATTTATGCTAATGCGGAGTAACGAAAAAAAAATTTGAACTTGAAAATATATAGCGCGCCAGAACTGACACGACCGAGGGCGAGGAGAACAATAACAAATGAAATTGTTTAACCGTCGTCGGAACAGCTGTTTGATTTATATATCGTTTTCGTATCATCGCTTGGAGTGTATCGATCTATCGTGCACATCTCTTGTAGTCTCATTCAACTACACTTCAGGCTCAGACCGTGAGACCAGATTTAAATATGTAATGTAGAGCAAGCGAGAGAAATGTATGCTTTTGATTATCATTTTTAATGGATAGGACACTACAGCAGCAAAGAAACGATCGCTATGAAATAGAGCACAACTTCCTCTGCGATCAGTGATGGATTTCATACCATACTGCCGATGATTAGTGATTTTCAGGCATAAATCTTTATGTTGCGAATTTTAAGTTCGCTCCGAAGAGAAGATTTGGGATACGGAGGTTTAAGTGCGCTCCGAGAGGCAGAAGGATTCGTTGCGGGGGTTTAAGGGTGCTACGAAGAGAAAACACGTTGCGGAGGTTTAATTTCGCCCCGAGGGGAAAGGTGGGAAGATGGAAAATGATGAGAGTGCTAAGAAAATTACAATCTACGGAAGTTGTAAGGTATGTACTATATAGTAAATGTTCACGTGTATTGAATATGAGTTCACGATCGTGTTTACCTATAGACCTTTGGAGCGGTTAGCAGCTCCAGAAAACAAAGGAAATTCTACTCTCATCGTCCATATACAAGAATTTCAATATAACCGTGATGAAATAAAAATGATATTTTTGAAGCTTGGTTCGTGCAAAATAAAAAAATTGGCACAGTATATTTAAATTTGTTAGAATTGAATTTTAAACAGTTGAGTTGAACCGAATATTTCGATAGCAACCAGACTTTGATCTGACCTCATTGCAGATTAAACTAAGACCCCAAGCCTCGTATATGGGCTCTAATATTGTTTCCCAACCCAAAACATTCATGGTTTGGGAGTGGTCACTAAAATTATTATTCCCACCACACGGGCCAAGTAATATAGAGGGCACCGCCGAAGCTCCTCTTGTGGGTGCAGGTTCGCTGCATACATAATTATTTCTAAAACTTTCTGGCCAAGGGCTGTGACCAAGGACTCAAATTTGTCGCTATTTATGTTATGGGCTATCAAAGGATCCTTGATTTGCTAAAATAGCGTTGCAGCGTTTTCCCGAACATAAGCACTTCGTTTTGGCAGCTCACGCGTAAGTTATCGCTCATCGAGGTGGCCAACTCTGGAACATTTTGTAATTTCGTTACCAAATATGTTTGGCCATATAAGTGTCTGTTAACAGGTGCCTCACCATGGCCTTTACCATATGTCGTTTATCCCATAAAATGGAGAAAATGTGGAATTTGGTTGCACATCTACTAATCATGTCTAGATTGGCCTGGCAATGGTCAGGCACCACCGCCAGCAGGTTGTTGTCATATCCTGTTTTGATAACCTTCTTTAGAATTTCATCAAGAGCCGACCATATTTTTCGAGCCTAGGCGCCACTCGTCTGTGACTGGAACCTGTTGAAGTATTCGAAAATATAATGTTGTTATGTATAAGGATAATAACTTACCACACGAATGTACAAATATTGGAATGCCGTAGCTGACACGTTGCTTGCAGCTATCGCCAGCACTTTCCACTTTGGTGTCGGAAGAAATGTCTGTAAATATATAGTTTTTAATTATAATTTGCCGAAGCAGCTGGATCAATAGGTGGAGACGGTGGAGTAGAACACTTACCAAATGAGGGATATGATACTCATCTATCATGATGAAAAAAGGTTCGTTCTGGAAATATGTCAAGTGCGACACGAAGTTTATCTTTCCGTCTAACATTTCCGGTCGCTTTAAAAAGTTAATCCATTTTTTTAGCTCGCCATCCACAATTGGCACTCTTTGGAATGTTCTAAAAAGGTAAAATATTGGGCAGAAGGGGCGGTGGGTGTGGACCAGCAGCAACATTAGATATTAACTTCCTCCTCCCACACTTCGCCGGCACAGGAACCTGCGCTGACTGGTTGTTGGGTCTGCTGCTCCTTGGGCTTCGGAGTGAGAGTACCTTTGGCCTGTACCGTGCCCGTATGCTGCTTCTGGAGGCTATCCATCTTCACTTCACTTGCACTTGCGATTCGATCAGATCGAAATTGTAATGTAATATAATAATAAAATAAATAATATATTTAAAAATATTCTTTTGATACTATTGAATCGATTCTGCAGCCCTGGGCAAAAGATCCGTTATGTCTTGGCGTCGCCACGGAAAAATTCAGGAAATAAATGGTGACCACGGACGGACGGAATTTAAAAGTGTCTAATTAGATCTTAATGAAGCACAGCGGTCGTCAATGTATATGCGATCCTGCTGCAGAGCTGCAGTGCTGGCGAGCGCTTGCTGAAAAAGCAAAGCAAACAGGAGATGCTAAGCCCAAGATCCCAAGAACAACATTAAAATGACGGTAGAAGACAGCCGACACTTGGGGCGAAATATGAAGAGAGTTTTTTCCTTGGAGTCTGAAAATTGGCACCGACGATCCAGTCGATCCTGATTATGAAGATATATTAAACATTATAATAGACTAGGTATATATTTATTGGGATGCATTGAAAATTTCAGGTGGAGCCACTAAACAAGTATTAATTTCGCGAGAGCAGTCTCACCTCACCCCCTCCCATGGACAGATAACGTTATAAACCAAAAGCCATACATTTAACTCAAACGATCCGTTTACGAGGTGTCTTAAATGAAACATTTACTGCCACAGACTAAACGCCACAGTTATCATATTAATATAATTTTGGGATCCAATTGCGAGCGTTTTTTGGGTTAATACAAATTAATCGTTGTGTGTTTCCAGACTTGACTGGACTCGTACTTGAAGTAGTTCGAATACGATTGAGTTTCAAACCATCGCAAGATGCATCGCTATATCGATATAACAATCGGGCCGCGGATTTCCTTTTACCCATCCCTGGCCGCCACATTGGCTTTCTTGTTGTTATTTTTTGCCCCCGCTGTTAATTTGTTTTCGAATAAAATGTTTCCCCAAAAAATCTCTGAGCTATATCGCAAGCCTGATAGCCACCAACCGCCGCCAAACATAGAGCTGGCCGGCAACCTCGAATATCCCAATCTCAACGCTGCCGATCTGAGTGCACGCTTGGAGAATCTTTCGATTCGGCTGCATAGCTGCTGGGACAGCATTAGCGTCAACGAACATAACCACTTTGCCCTCGCCACCAATCGCCGGAAAGGTTGCGAGTGGTGGGGCGTGTTCTTTGGCCACTCGGAGGACAATGCGAAGCACATGACCGAGAAGAATGCGGACTTCAAACTGCAGTCAACCCACACGGTGAACATTGTTCGCTATGCGGAAAACAACGTGCTGCTGGCGGCACTGGGAGATACCAAACTGCAGGTCTGGTCCACATACTCAAAGGTGCGGAATCCCGTATCCCCGTATTGCCTTTTTATGATCGGCGAATCTGCAGCCCATCCATCGGCCATTAGCCATTTGAGTGTGTTCAAGGCGGATCAAAAAATGGCTGTAACCGCATCTCCAGATGGTACAATAAATGTAAGTTCTATAGGGACTAGAGATTCTTTACTCACCTGGAACGCTCTCTTTTAGATTTGGAACTTCGCTGGGGCAGATCTGGAGAGCTCTTACCGCACAAACTATGCTCACACGGACAAACTCACGGGCATGGCCACACCTGTGAGCACTTGCGACCAGTTTGTTACCTGTGATCGTGGGGGTTGTGCCCGCATTTGGGACGCTCGTGCCGTGGCACCATCTTCCATGACCCTCTACAACGACACTACTCATATGATTAGCTTCACCTGTGCCGCCTGGGCAGGACCCACGGAACTCCAGGGCGATAACTACATTTACTTTGGTGATTTCGATGGAAATGTCCATACCATAGACATTCGTGTCCCCAAGAAGTTCCAAGAGACGATGGAGTACTTTGATGACAGCATTATCTCACAGCTTTCGATCAATGGGTGCGGCTCTAGATGTAATATATGCTTAGAAATGTACGGAAGAGCTAACCATTTTTCTTTATTTGCAGACCCCATTTGGCTGTCATGAGCAATCAGCCTGCTGGCGTGAAGATAGCCAAAATGAATGGAAGCCATGAGATTATCTATACAAATAAGGACACGCATGACCGTCTGACGGACGCCGTTTGGACAGATGCACAGACACTACTTACCATTGGACATGGCCGTAAAATGGTCAAACACATTATACCTTAGGTTTTTATATATATTTTTTGTAATATTAGGACCTGTCCTGATTCAAGTGATATTTGTTTACCATTTATATACAAGAAATGCACTTTACTTCAAGGGATTTGTATTATATTAATACAAATTCGTGAAGATATTTTTTTAAGAGTATTTTTTTTCTTGTTGAAAGAAATGAACAAATTAAATATTGTCTTGAGACTTGCCTGTAACACTGTTTAACATTATAAATCTAATCATATATTCTTTAAACATGGCTCAAGAACAAAATGGCTTTATGATTTTATTATAAACCATTTGGGAAAACACTGGAGATGTATCCTTTCTTTTATTTTCAAATCAGTTTCCTTAAGGAAAGATTACCAAATGTTTCAACCAAAATAGTTGCCTATTTTGGGGTCTATTACATTTTTCTTTCAACTGTTCAACAAAACGTTTAATAATAATAATAATAAACAAAAATATGACACAACTACTGCTAATAGAATTTACTTATAATCTTCATATATAAAAATATAAATTTTCCATAAATTCGTTGTATAAATTCAAAATCTTTATTTCAAAGGCTCTCGGGTAATTTTCAACCAAAAAGTCAGATTGTAATTCTAATTAATAATTTGTGTTTAGTTACTAAACAATCAATGCGCATCATCATTTGGAATGGTCTTATATGATCTGATCGGAACAATGCTTCAGTTTTGGTGTCTTTGATGTCCTGTCCTGTCAGTGGGGGATCCCTTACGCAAGCAGAGTTATGTAAAAGGCCAAGTACTGGGTCATCAGGAAAAAACATACCATTCCTTAAGGATATAATGGTTTTCTTATGTACAACTAAATGCCAATCAACAGGTTGATTTGTGGCTATCTTACAACAAACAAAACGTAAAAACTAAACAACCGCAAAAAAATACTTGATTTCGAAACACATTTCACGCATAAACAGAGCGTATCGTCTTGGCTGCGGCAGAGGGTTTTTTTTTGGGGTGGGAAAAATGTCCTCTTAATTTTTCCAGAAAATTAAAACCTTTTCCCGCTTAGCTATCGCCGCGAACGCTTGGTGGGTGGCTCCAGGAAATTATTCTCTACCTCATCGATCTCCATGCTGTCGAGTTTCATTAGCTGCTTGGCCTTTTGTAGCACTTTTGTGTCTCGCAGCCAATTGGCTTGCAGTACATCATCGATTGAGGGTCGCTTCTTGGGATCCGTAATGAGCATTTGATTTATCAAGAGCTTGGCACGCTGCGATATACCCTTCCAGGCAGGGTGTCGGTAGGCAAATTTACCCTTTTTTATTTGCTCAGCTGCTGGAGAGCCGTACTCATCGGAGAAGGGCAATGTGCCACTGAGACTGCAACAGGAGAAAGCCGTTAGAAGCGTTCTTTAGACGGGTACACAAAAAAGATTATCCCACCAGGTAAACAGAACTACACCCAGGCTCCAAATGTCCACCTTCCTGGTGTAGGCCTCTCGTCCGCCTGTGATCAAAACCTCAGGGGCCACATAAAGCGGCGTGCCACAGAGTGTCCGCATCACAGAGTCCTTTTGTACAAACTTGCTTAGCCCAAAGTCAGAGACTTTGAGAAGTGTGTCCTCATCCCCCGACTCTAGCAGAACATTATCTGGCTTCAAATCGCGATGTGTGATGCCTGGAGAGGGAGAAAATCAATCAGAATCCTTGGAAATGTTCCCAAAACCCACCTCTATCGTGTAGATATTTAACAGCATGGCACATTTGGTAGAAATATAGTTTTGAGGTCTCCTCCGACAGCAGTTTTTTGCTGATGATGCGATTAAGTAAGTCCCCACCGCGCATAAACTCCAGGACCATATAAACCGAGTCCGGTTTATCCACAATATCATGCATACGCACCACACAAGGGTGGGTGAGGTTTTTCATAATCTTTGCCTCATTGAGAACCCTTTCGGGATCGCTGAGATTCGTGCTGGGTCGTGCACTGCCCGCCAGCATATTTTTCTTAACAATTTTCATGGCAAACTGTTGGCAGGTGCGCGTCTCATACACCAAACGCACCAGACCGTAGGCCCCCGAGCCCAGTTTACGATTTACAGAATACGTTTTGGTTATCTCTTCGGGCAGGCCGATGGCCTCATTCGGGCTGAGATCCTTGAACACAAAGGCTACAAAGGGCGGAAGCAGGTGCAAAATTAGTTGCAAATTTCACTCTGACTCTCCGCTACTGGCAGATCCCCTTACCTTTGTATGTGGGATGGGCAATTGATATGACATCGTCGTTTTTCAAAATGCGCATGTTATTGGTGCCAATTTTTTCATTATTCACAAAAGTCCCATTGCGTGAGAGGTCCTTGGGTAACAGGAGAACAAAAGATGAGGACTTTAGGTATACAATGGTAGGGTGCACCCATAATATATCTACCTGTATATAGACCGGATTTGTCAGCTCACAATTTGCCCGCTTTATGATAAAATGCACTTTGGAAATGCGCGTCAGGATTTTCTCAGGCAAATCTTTGAGGGTCAGGACCAAGTCATTCGCCTCTCCACGTCCAGCCTTGAATTCGTCATTGTTCAGATCTATAGGGAATACATAGTACATAGATTAAACATATGATAGGACTGTTTAGGATCACGAAGAACAAAGACTTTTGGATGGTTACCAACAGAAAAGGACGAATGCGTATACACTATGCGGTAGTTGGAGCTCGTACCCAGCGATTTGATTTTGATATTCTTTCCGTACAATCTGCCCCACACGATCCTCTCCATCGGTTGGCTCTCCACCTGCGTCCAAATGTTGGATGCCTGGCTCTGGGTGGCCCCTTGGGTCCCACCTTGTGTGCCGTCGCGTGCCATTATTTCAAGCGCAATTCTCCTTTTGGTCGCAGGTTTCTTGGAATAAACTGCGCAAATGGGAAATGTTCTGTTATCCCTGCTACTCTCACACACACAAGCACACGCAAAACTATTTGATAAAAAAAAATAAGAATCAGACACAGCTTCGAATTGGAAGGCACTGCTTTATACGATTTTTAAACATTTATTTGGATTTTAATTAATGAATTAACTAATATTTTAACTTTTTCATACAAAAACAACGATAAGTATCAACAAAAACGACATTGAAAGTGCGCCCGACGACGATCTGCAAGTTTGTGGTTGTGTGTGTGTGTGATTTGCCGCCATTCAGGGCTGCAGAGATAACAAATATAAGTATCGTATCGATGTCTTGCACAATTGATCGAAACTATCGATAGAACTTTGGAAATGTTTTGACAATGCACATGATTGTAATTTTTGATATTTAATTTGTATAGATCAATAAATTTAATTGGTAAGAAAAATTAATTTGTTTTATTTCTTACTTGCTTTACGGTAATGAGGAATTTTTAATTCATGAATTTCGTTTATTAATTATGCCAGCCCTGAGCGTGTGAATGTGGATTTCCAGCCCTGAAATGTTAAGCACTCACTCTCCATCCCTAGATTGCGGCGTCGTTTGAAAGAAACTGTAAACCAATACCAACGCAGCGATCAAACGAAATACACAAAACGAAATTGGTAAAAATAAGCAACAAAAGTTATAGAAATTGTTATAGAAAAACTATATTCTCTCCTTGCAAGGCGGACAACAGCATTTGGCGTCCCCTTGTGATTACGCACACCCAGGCATTGGTATTTTCGTTAATTTTGCGCGTAAAATCATCGACCAGCAAAGAGGCATCGAGCAATCATGACGTTGCCTCGCTCGGAGACGCCACTGCGTCGATCTGCAGTGGGCAGCTACCGGGAGAGCATGGCCCGGGACATAACAGTGATCAATGACGACGAGGCCGAGCGGCGGGAAGCACGCCGGCGAACGCTGCTGGTTCAGCAGGACACGCGCAAGAGTTCAGCTCTCGAGTCCATCGAGGAGAACGAGACGATACGCTCCTGCGTGGATCTGTACAACTGCAATAAGCTCAGCAAAGACAATGCCTGGCATATGTCGCTGATTGATTCGCTGGCCACTCTAATGGATCGCCATCACAAAAAGCTAAGCAACTTCAAGGTGCGTTTTACTCTTTGCTCCTCTGACCAATCTGCAGAGTTCCTAACCTACCTTTCTACATTCACAGATGGCTGGCTCTTCGCTGGAGGCCTCGTCCAAGGTCTACGGCCTGCGTGTAGACTCAATATACATCGATGCAATGCGTATATCGGCGGGCTTGAGTGCTCGCACATTGACGGACAAACAGATAAACGATGCCGACGCGGATGATGAGGGCTTACCTGAAGGACCTCCAGGTGATGGCGAAGGTGGCGATGCGGCTCCCAGTCAACAGCAGCAGGCGGCACCTAAGCCCAAGCGCCAGAAAAGGAATTTATCAACGGTGACAAAGAACAAGGAAACGTTGAATGCCCGTTTGGACATGGTGCCCATGCAGGATGCGGTTTTTGGGAAACTCAATTCGACGGTGGGTTCCATCAATGCCTCCAATCGCCTGATGCACAACATTCTGCCCAGCGTAGACTCTGAGATGCGGCTACGCACGACCCACAAATTCTGGGATTCGACGGAGGAGACGGATGAGCTCATGGACAGCGAAACGCTGAGTGCTGGCACCAAGGAGTGGGCCAATGAAGAGTTGTGCAATGCGGAATGGCTGCCTAAGCTGTACAACCATATGGACAAACTAAATCTGCGGCCACTCCACACGGGCTACGTGATAACCAGTGCCCCCAATCCCAAGCCTCAGACGGGATCTATTTCAGAGGCGGCCCCCACATATGATGACGATGATGAGGGGCTGGACAATGCGGACGACTTCGGTGTGAATCCCACAGATATATCCGTGGCCTTTGATATGAACGCTGAGTGTGAGCCCATGCCGGATATGGAAGCAGGTCCTCCCATTATCCTAGAAATACAATCCAATGATTTGCAAGAACTCACCGCCGAGGAGCAGACGGTCGTCAACAATTGCCGCCGTTTGAGGAAAACGGCCGAATTTATTGACGACCTAAGGCCAGTGGATGGTGTCACTAGGCTGGACTACTCCTACAGACCCATGGAGCAGATCTCACAGTTTTGGGCGGGTCCAGCGCATTGGAAATTCAGGCGCACTCGTCCGCGCACCACTCTGGCCCAGTCGAATGGTCCTATGGATGCTGTGACTGCTGCCAAACCAAAGAAAACGGCGGCAGCGGCCGCCAAGCGACGCATGAAGGAGGTGCAATATGGAAAATTCAAAGAGGAGTTCTTTCAGCCCCTCGATGCCAATATAAAGCAGCGAAAGGTCAACTATCAAAAGAAATGGGATGCCCGAAAGCTGGTGCTGCCCACGAAATTCAACTTTGAAGCGGATTACTTTTTCAAATACGATTCGGCGCCGAGTATAAAAGTTAGCCAGAGATTTGGTGAAGCCGACCTGGATGAGGGTATGGGCAACGATATGGATATGGATGGGGGCTCACACCACGGCGATGCCGACATAGAGCTCTTTGACAACGAACATTTCACCACAGATGATCCTGTCATGAACCGAATGTCGGGAGCGGGCATTGAAGATCCCATGGACATGATGAATGTGGATTTATGTGAGGGTATGCCCAGCCAGAGCCAAAGCATGCATGTGGGTCAGGATACAATCGTGGAGATAGCCACCGAATATGAGGGTGCACCGAAGCAGGTGGGTCATTGGAGGATATGCTACTCCCAAGGGTGTCTAAAGTATCACATATTGTCATATTTTTCAGGTCACCAAAGTGATTGTGCCATTCGCGAGGCGCGCCAAGGTGATCGACATGAAGAATCTCAAGAAAAACTGCAATTCTCTGATCCAGAAACAACTCCTCAGTCCTGTCGACGAGGCATCGATACCCTCCCACCCAGTGCCAAAGGAAGAAAGCTACGCGAAGGGTACCGCCAGCTTCCAGGAGCTCTACCGAACGTTGCCTGATATGTTGAATGCCAAAATGAAAGATTCTCTGTCCCCATCGGTGGCCCTCTACGCGGTTCTCCATTTGGCCAACGACATGAAGCTGCGACTCATTCCACAAGAGAATCTAGAGGATTTTCAAATCCGGCAAGTTCTGGATTAGCATTTAATGACGAAGTTTTTAATTGTGCCCCCAATTAATGTGTTTCCTTAAACTGACGAATCGTATAGTAAATGACGTACCCTCTAGCATTGTATCAGTATTTCCCATTACCCCCCTCCCAAAATGAAAGTCAATCTTACCTCAATTTTAAGCACATTTTCATTCAACAAACGAAACGAAACGAAGCAGGGCTCATCTCCAATGTGTTCTCGGATGATTTTTTAGTTCTATCAGTCAAGCGGTACCCCGTGTTAAGTTCTAAGATTTATAACAATAGAAATGTGTGTGTTACCATATAAACAATAAAATATTTTTGATATGTGGGTACAAACCTTACCATATTTTGAACATTTTTTGAGTTTGTAGTACATGGAATTATACTTTGAACCCTCACACGCACCCACTACCGCCCACCGCAGGGCTGACCGAGGAGAGAGAACTCGCATTAAAGTAAGAGTAGTGGAGGAGGGAGAGGGTGAAGATGAGCCAAAAACCAACTACATTTCCAATAGGGCTCTCCGCTTCAAACATATCTTCTAGATCTCTGATCACATGGCTGCATCTAAGCCTCTATTACTCCCACACACTCTCACCAACAGGTGTCCAAAGGTATTCTCTATATAAATGGAATAGAAGCAGCGGGAGAGAGAATGGATGAGCGATCTTCAATTTTTCGGTTCGGCTTGCACGCGTTCAATGCGTTAATATTTGTTTTGCAATTTGTGATAGTGTAGTGCAGTGAAGAACATACAAATTCCTGTGATTAAAGTGCTAAATCTAAGAAATTGTGAATGCGTCTGGTGCGGGGGCGAAGCAATGACAAAAAATGGTAGGAAAAAGGCAGATCGTGGGTACAAAGAAGCGGAAATATGTGAAAGTGCAGTGCAATAAGTATTATATGCATTATTGGAAATTACCAAAAAGGCACCAATAAGGTACCGTTATGTCGGTGGTCGCACTAGGTCATGCGGTGCATACATATGTACATATGTGTGCGTGTGTGCAAATGCAGAAAAGCAGAAAAGGTCTTCCATGTAGTAGACGGAGAGAAGATTAAGAAGATCAAAAGGGAATACGTGACTCCGTCGGCGCTCTCCTGCCAAGATGCCTCCATGCAAGGTGGGCGATTGGATATGTCGATCTGTCTCGTTCGGGGCTTCAACAGCTTAAAATATGCGTGTTTCCTTGGAGTCCTACCCTAATGGCTTGTCTTATTTTAATGAAATCAAAGCTCATGCTATCATATCTCAGGAAAAAGGTGGAAATGTGACAAGTGTGTGAAAGTGCAGTGTATCAGTGTTTTTTTTGTATGCTAGTGCTCTTGGTACCGTTACGTTTGTGTCGTTTCGTAAAATTCGGAAATCTTCGTGCGGTCCCGAAATCTCACGTTTTCGTTCTTTGTTCATCGCAACCTCGTCTCGAAATCGGCTCCCCCTTGGAGAGTGAAAAGAACAACAAATGAATTTTGCAAGATCAAAAAGAGAAGACAATAATAAAGAAGAGGAGCCAAAATAAATGTAATAACGGTGAGTGGGACCCTCTCTTAAGTAATAAAGTCTCCTTCTTGGAGACCTTGTCTTTTCAAAGTAAATCTTTCTCTTAAATAATTTTTTTTCGCTAGACAAGCTTCCGTCGCGCTGTTCTTCTTCAGTGTCATGTGTCGTCTTATCCTCGGCAAACCCAAAAAAAACTTTTGCATTAGTTTTTTGTGGGGGCGACGGTGGTAGGGGGTGCGCGTCTCAGACAGAAGCGGAAGCAGTTGTTACCATTGTTTGCTGTTGTTGTTGCTCTTTCATTTGCATATGCACATGTGGGCAGGGATTCGGGGGGCAGGCGGTGGGAGGCAAAGCAATTCCGAAGGCGTTTGCAAGCGTTTTTAATCGCAAGTTGTTTCTGTCGCGGCCTGAAGATTGTTTTTTTGTTTGTTTTTGGATGCCCTTCAAGAGAGGGTATAACTATTCTGGAATGATAAATGGAAGAAAAGCATAGAACCAACCGATATAGAAATTTCCTTCCATCCGTCCGTGATCAAAATCAGCTGACTATAGCTCCTGTATAAACGTTGGATTTTTAAGGATATTTATACATTCGGCTCCCAAAGTTTCCTTCCTCCCTGCTGTAGCGCGTGTGTGTGTGACACATTTGTACCGTTTTCTCGCTTGAGAGTATGCGTGTGTCCTGGAAAACTTTCGTGTATTTGCAGAGCGCTTTTAGGCCACGTTTTGCAAGCGTATGTCTGTGTATGTGTGTTTTAAGAGTATGTCTGTAATTGCATATTATTTGCATAAATATTTACCAAGTACTAAGTAATGTAAAGCTGTATCTCACACACATACATAAATACTATATACCGTTATACCGTATGTGCAACAAAACAGAAACAACATTTAGACAGAACATTTAAAAACAGGTCGCCATAAAACTTTTGACATTAGCAGCAAAAGGATGCCAGGGAAAAGTCAAACTTTCAAGAGTTAAATGTGTGGATCTTATGTCGCATTTTGTTGGAATCTTTGGCTATTAGCAGGTTGCTGTGGCTAGAGATTTAAATACGTGAAAATCCATAGAAAGGAGAAAATAAAATAAATAAATAAAGGCGGGAGTTTTCTACATTAATTTTTTACAATTTTTAAAACTTTTCTTTCCGCCAATTAATAGTTGAAACTTTGTAACATTTATTTAGACAGAATATATAACGAATTAAAGTTAATTATCCACTAATTTACTCCTACAACTACACCTATTACAACTTTCGTAGCTTACCAATTTCATGGGACAACTTTTCATGAATAAAACGCGCGATTGCAGTGCATTTTCCAACTTTTACCTGCTGCAAACGCCCAATACCTGCTCGAATGACCCAATAAAAGTGCCAACAATTATCAACTTGGATTCCCAGAGCGTCGGATGACACCAGAGCAAGAGTGTGTATCCTCTGCAACACGATTACGGCCACAAATGTGAGAGAATTAAGCCAGAAACCAAACAAGAAACAACAGGGAACTCTGATGAAAATGGCAGATGCGGACAAGGAGCCACAACATTCCGGCAATGAAAATGGGCAAAGACAAACAGAGACATTTACAGGTGCTTTCCACCTGTGGGGGCGAACCCTTGACACAGACCCAAACTCCTGTTACATTTTGTTGTTTGTTTTTCGTAATTAACTTTTCAACTCCAAATGCTGTTCTGAAATTTCTCTCTCTCTCTTCTGTTTCTGTAAATGGAGCGCGTTTTATATTTTTTTTTAATGACATTTGACATTGGAAATTCGACACGAAAATGCACTCAATTGCGTGTATTGTAGTAGGTTATGGTTGTGTGACACTTCTGTATTTTGGGACAATATTAGGCAATTCGGGAAACATATTTTCGATGGTTGTTGTACAGCAGAAAAGGGGGTAATGCTACACATGAGAAATTTTCTCTGATTTTTGTGATTTATAGGGCATGGCCCTATCTTCTGGGCATAGGATAGTGCGCTCCCGCTCACACACACATGTATAACAGGGATCGGAACCATAGAATAACAGTTTTGTTCCGTTTCGCGAATGGGCGCGTGCCGATCGCTGCCTTAGGGAGTTGCGATTTGCAATTTATTGAGTGATTTTATTGAATTACCTTTTGGTTTCTCCATGCAAAGAGGTGTTTTCGAAGCTATTTTCAACATACTTCTGGCAAGATCTGATCTGAAATGTTTTCCATAATTTTGTATAAGCCAAAATCCCCATAGTTTCCTCCCAAATACACCGAAATGAAATAAAAACACTTTGAATTTTTGACTCCTTCAGAGTTTCACCGTAGGTATTATAGGTATTTATTATATATATATATATATATATGTATATATATATAGCATATAGATCGAGTAAAATATGTACGCGTTCATTTTGTGTGTGTGTGTGTGTTACTCTTATTTACATTTACATTCATATGATATTTAAGGGTATATATATATATATACTGATATACTCCGTTCTCTGAGCTCTCTGTCTGTGGGGGAAAGTGTTTTTTTTTGTTTCCTATATGTTTGCTGTTTTTGTTAAACAATAATTTCAATGATGGTGTAAATTAAATATACAAAAATGTGTGTCAGAAACAACATTCGATTGTATCTTTTTTGTGTTTTTGTTTATGTTTGTTTGGATTTGTTTAAGTAAAATACATTGATAAAATTGCATCCGATATATATATGTATATTTATATAGTCGTATAATATAATAGTTGATACACACATACACACATATGTATATATAATTCTTTTTTTTAGCACACAGAATATAACAATTGTTGCAGTAATACATCTATATTTTCTTTCCTTCAATTCTTCTTTCGCGGGGGCCTTTCTTCCATGTTTTTCAAACATTTTTTACCTTTTCATATAATATTTATTAAATCGAAAATTTGTTCACTGACAAATTAAATGTTTATATATTTTTTAAATATTTTTATAGATTTTTCTTTTGTTTTTATAACAAATTTGCGCTAAGTTTTAAAGGTGTTTTGTAAGTTTTTATATTTTTTTATATACATTTGAGGCTAGAATTTGTTTGGGGGATCCTTTTTTAAAGTTTTGTTTTTGTTTTTATTGAGCATAATAGGAATTTAGGGAGATTCGAGGCAAACAATTAAAAATATAAGAAATAAAATAACAGAACTGATTTATATTTTCATTTAGTTTGTCAAATAAACCCACCCAAAATTTATATGTATTTATTTTTTAATTTTTTTTTAACATTTATAATCTTGTAGATATTTTTTTTCTGTTTTACCTGCGCGGCGCCTTGTGTTAAAGTTTCATGGACAAATATATATATATATATATATATTTATTTAGGTTTTTTTGTTGCTGCTCAAAAACGAAATGTTAGACATTAATGGGTTAATCATATGTTTAATATATATAGAATTTATATATGTGTTTTTCTGTTTGTTAAATATATGCATGTATTTCTCAGCCATTGACTCTGCTCTTTCCTCCTCCTCTCTCTCTCTCCACTCTCTTTCTCTCTATTTAAAAATTCTCTCAAAAACTGTTTTTTTTTGGGCTTTGGATATTTCGACCGTTTTTTCTAGCTTTCTTTTCTTTTCCCATCATTTGATGTCCTTGCCATTGTCCTTTGGAGTTCCTTTCGCCTTGGCCATGAATATCTGGGATAAGTATTTAATTTTTGGGAGCAATTGAAGAGGTTTCAATCTGCAAAGAAAAGGGCTTTATTGAGGAACAAATTCCTTTTTTCAGAGATTTTCCCACCTTCTGTTCGGTTGCGGGGGCCTTGCCAGTGCTACGACCCCAACGCAAACGCATTGGCTTGCGTGCCTCGCGCTGGAACTCCGATGTGTCTTCATCCAGTTGCGCCTCGGTGTCGTCTCCGTCGTTGGCATAGCCTGCAACGTGTCCAGGGGCGGCTTCGTACTGCTGCAAGGCCAACAGCATGCGGCGCATCTTCTCGGAGTTCCACAGAGAGTTGTAGAGCTGCAAAAGAGAGCATTTCGAATACCGGAAATTTCAAATATATTTTTCAATCATTTCACCTGATCATTATCGGCATTGGTTGCCTCAAACTGGGGCACACTGCGACCCCAACGAAGACGCTGCGGCTTGCGCACCACCCGCTCGTAAAGGCCATCATAGTCGGCACTGAGATCGTCGGCTGTGTCTCCCAATTGCTGCTGCTGCTGGTTGTTGAGGGTTAGTTCACGCTCCAAAAGATCGTCGTAGGCGGTGCGTCGCATCTGTGGCAAGGTGGGGTCGCGGCGTCCGAACCGCAGACGCAGGGAAGGCGATCGAATGGGCTTCTGGTTGACGTCGCCGAACCAACGCTTCTCCACGATATTATTGAGCATGTCCGGATCGCTGCGACCAAAGCGGAGACGCAGCGAAGGAGAGCGCTGGGCCTTGCGCTCCACCTGGTGATTGGGAAAGACCACGGGTCCGGCATACTCCCGCTGGAGGAGATTGTCGTAGAGATTGCTGATGGGCCCGCCACCTGAAAAAAGTATCGGTATTTGGGGGATGGTCGTCCGGTAGAATGGGGAGGAAGAACTCACCTTGAACGACGGGCGAGAGCTCCGCATTGGTGGGCTGGTGCATCATCAGGAGATTCAGCAGACAGCAGATGAGGGCCAAGGCACAGCCGTGACTCAATTGGGGATTGAAGCGGAACATTGCTGAGCTTTTGATCGAGGGAGCTGTAAATGCAAATCAAAGGGGAAATAAATTAGAATTTTTCCCTTTTGATTAGAGATATGTAAGGTTTTTTTGGCTTAATTTGAAGGATTTTTATGTTTTTTTTTCCTGTTTTCTGTGCAATGGAAAACAAGAAAAAAAGAAAACAAACTTTCGAGCAATACAAATTTTAGCCAAAAAACCCTAAAATATTGGTTTGCAAAACTTTAATAAAATTGACTTGTAAAACATTTCCGTCACTTTTCCAGCCACAAAAAGTGTCGTCTCTATTTGGTCACAAATTATGCATGACTGCACCTGAATGGTGCATGCCACCACCTCCCCCCAATCGAATTCTTTTTCTATCATACATGTATTTGTTGCAAATATAAAGCGAAGGGTTAGACAGCTGCAGCGACTGGGCAACCATTAGTGGCAGCATACAATATACTCGTATATTTATATATTGGAATTTTATATTTTATGCGAAGTGAAGGGAAGGCCGTGTAAATGATGTCATGGACTAATGGTTTCTAGCCATTATTAAAAATTGAATGAACTGCGAAGGGTTGTACACGTGTGTGTGTGTGTGTGAAATATAATCCATACATTATAAAATGCCTTGCATGTAGACAAAGGAAGGGCTAGACAAACGGTGAAAGCAGGGGGACGTGTGGTGGAGTCATGAATACAAAGTGAATGGCAATTCAAATGCAACAAGAAACGGGGGAATACAGCTGAGTGTCTAGACAATGAAGTACCCTTTAAGGCACTTAAAGGGAAAGAGACCAAGATAAGGGAGCTGTAATTGAAAAAGAAAAGGGTTCAATGAGCAAGTCATTCAATGCTTCTGGTGGGGTCTCTTGTTTGAATTTGATTTTCGGGTATTTATATAAGCTGATTAAAGAATACAAAAATGTTTTAGAGTGGGTGACTATTCTGTCTCCCTGTTGCATGTTGCACCATGAATACAGCAGGCACTCTTTGCACCCTCCAACTCTCTTGCTCTCTCTGTCTGGCTTGTGGTGTAAATAAGGCTTCATTGGAATTCATTTGAAAATCATCATATGTTTCATTTTACAAGGAGGTGCAAAACGAGGCCAAAGAAAATGGCAATTGAATTATTTATAAGAAGAGGAAGACAGAGAGAGGGAGATACAGGTTAAAGATGGTACTGAAGAGGGGAATAGACTCTCGCAGGGAGATCCTCTGTTGCCATTGAGTTTATAAAGAAAACACAAGTCTAGAAGCCTGATGGATGGCTCACCTTAAGGGCGACACCCCGCAGGCATAAGGAAACAATGGTTAAAACAGTAAAACAAAATAAAAGAGAGAGAGTGGTGCAAAGAGGGATACATTCAAGAGAGAGAGGGTACCTCTTAATGCTTAAGAAAGGGGGGAGGGTGTCTCAATGCTTAAAAAAGAGCCGGAAGGGGGCTCTGCACTCGGAATGAAGTTCTTGTGATGAAAAGTGTCTGAAAGTCTCGAAATGCAATATGCAACATTATGCAGTAGACACTCGTTTCATCGCGTCTCCCACTCGCCCAAGGCGGGTGTTCTGTATTTTCTTTGTTTCGTTTTGCTGTTGTTGCAAGCGGAAGTCGAAAGTCTAAGCCTTTGCCACTTGCCACTGTAGCAGCAGCATCATCATCTGGATCCTTGAAGCATTAAGTGCCCGTCGAAAGATATTTTTGTTAGGAGATGCATCCCAACGTATACGTGATAGCCGGCGTTCGTATCGTATACGTGATGTCACAAGATGGCAGGAGACACGAAGTCGAGCCGGAAATTAAATTGTAGTTTAAGCAGAGACACGCTCCTCCACAATGAAAATTGTGCTGCCCGTCGATATTTGGCCTAATATTTAAAAAAGAGAGAGGCACTAAGGAGATGGGGCACGAGGGGCAGGAATTCGGAGAAGGAAGCTATGGGAATGATCTCTGGTCTAAAGGATGTTTTTCTTAGAGATTTTTGGAATGAAAAATAAAGTAAACGACGAGGAAAATGATCGATTTGGAAATATATAAATATCATAAATTTTTTACAGATTTAATGATTGTTTTCTTCTATCATCTTTTGTACAGAAAAACTCTAGAATTTGGTTCACTTTTGAAGAGTTTTTGATTGGTACTTTTGATGTATTCGTATTATATATCCAAGCCTAAAGGCTTTATTTTTTTCTAATGATTTATGTAATATGAAAAGCAAAGTATGCTCAATGGAATATGATTCAATATTTTCTTGTAAAGATTTGATGAAAAAATGCCATCTTTTGGCTAAATTTTTCTTTTTATTTTGGAGAATATTTATATTAAATTCATTGGAAAATGGGGACTTGGATTCTCTCTTAGAGAATATAATAAATTCTATAGAAAATGTTTTGAAAATTCGTCTTTTGGAATATTTCTAGAAATTGTATTTACTTTTGAATAGGTTTTGGTGGATTTGATTGATGGATTTTTGATTGAATAATAGATTAATAATTTTAAATATAAAGCTGAGAAATTTGTCAATCTTTCTCAATAGATTTCAATTCGTTTCGTTCGTTTGATACCTTTTTTTTGTTATATATAAAATATGTAAATATTCTGCTCCCCAAAATATAAATCAAATTTCACTTGGGGGCAGATTTGTTTGAATCATTTCTAGTAATCCTGGTAATCCCGTTTCTGTTGAACCGATTTTCGTTTTATGATTTTCCCTTCCAGTCATTGAATGAATCTTTCCCCCCACCCCCACTTAATCGAATTGTGACTTTCCCAAACCCCCTCCCCCCATCCAACTGTCTGTTGCTCTTCTCTCAATGATATTTGGGATGTCCGCCGCTGGAGAATGATTTGTTGGCGGAAGCAATGAGCAATTGCCTCGACCAAAATCCTGGGTCCACTCGTTATGGAAATTTGCGACCGAATATCTCTGTGTGCGAGGGTGTATTTGTGTGTGTGTGTGTGTATGTGTGGGCAACTGTCGGGGTGATGAAATGTGCCGCTGGTCTACGCGACATTTGGGCGACGTTTGTCAAAATTGAAAGTGATTTATCATCGTCCTCGGTCTGCTCTTCTTCTCGGGAGCACCCTCTTGTCTGACTTTTGACGAAATGACGAATGAGTTGTGAGATATTTCATACAGATAATGATGCTATTTATGTGGGTGGGATGCACTGACAGAAAATATGGTGTGTGACGGAATCTACAATTTTTCTAGGGACTTGAAAGTCTTGATGGAAAGGTCTTAAAGATAGGTAACAATGGGATAAAAATATATATATTAATAAAAATAAATAAAAAGAATATATAAAATAAAAATATTAAGAAATATAATATAATACATAAATATATAATATATAAATATATAATACAAAAATAATTAAAATAGATTTTATAGGATCATCCAATTTTCTAAATTTATTTATAATACTTTTTTATTTTGATCTGTGAAATATTATGGATTTTTCTTAATGGGAAAACTATATAGCTTGTTGTTAGATATTTAATTTTTTAAAAGCGTTCTACAGTTTAAAATTTTGTTTATTATTATTTTTTGTTTAAGTCTAATATTTACTAAAACCAAAAATTACTTAGTTTACCTTTCGGTTGTTCACACTTTGTTCTATGAGTTTGCAAAGAAATTTCGTCATAATTTTTTTTTCTTTGCATTTTTATACATTTCTCATTATTTTTCTTGTATTTTTCTTCTTTTTTTCTAAAGAATAGTCCAAATATTTTTGTGCAATTTTCTTCAGTGCAATGTTATCCCCAAAACCCCACTTAAGCCGTGCTTTAAAAAACAATGTGTCCCCAGCCATTAAATGGCGACAAGAAGAACCTTTTTTTTGGTGTTTTTTCTGGGTCTGTGAATGGAATATAAATATAATACGGGGAGTGGGGGAATAGAGAAATAAAATGCCTGATTGACACATAATAAGCAATCCCATTAACACATTTTGTTGTGACATCGAGTGGCCTCCTGATCAAATGATGCCTCATTGGACGGACAGTGGTGCTCCACTGCCACTTGGAGGCCTAATATGTTCACTGTTTAACAGGGTGTGGGACTAAATAGAAGATGCAGAGGGCAGAGCTTGAAAAGGAAGAGATGGGAGGAGATTGTCATACATTTTCTTTCATATTTTACTCCTAGACATCATAGAAACAGAATTGTAAATCAACTCTGGTTTCAATTAGTCCACTCTGTCGAACATTTAATAATTTTTCCTATTAGGTGTGGTACAAACTTTGTTGTCTAGTGTAACCAAGCCAGAACCACAGACCGCTTTCCCATTGAAGCGTGAAAAACACATTGACGAGGTTTAAATAGCCTTTGGGGTCCAGGGCACCCCGACTCTAATGCCCATTTAACACCCACAAACCCACAAAACAGGACACGCAGACATATCCTTACACTCTGGCACACATTCTCACGCTCCCACAGACACCCTCTCACATGTAAGCACACACATGCCCACAACAGGTTGTTGATATCCTTGAAAGGAGAGGGTATTCCAAGGCAGAACAAGTCTGTGCAACCTCTAATAAAAATCGGTTTACTTTTCAGATATTTTAGAAATGGATTTATATACAATTTTCATGATATGTTACTTAATTTCTTTCTGTGGTTTTTTATGGAGTATTTTTTTGGGAAATTTCTTAATTTTGTTCTCGAAATTTTTTTTTTTCTTCCATGACGGAGGACGTATTTAAAGGCCCTGTCTCTACAGCCATGAATGCATATCCTTCTCTATGTTTTTTGTGTGAAATGCTTTCTTTATTCGGAAACTCTTCTTGTACCCCTGGAAGAAGCATATAGGGTTCAGATAGGGTTCCATTTTTATACGAAATTTAAGCAAAATCCATTGAAAAACGGGTTTTACTAAAGATATTCCCAACGAAAACAATAAAATCTTTAAGCCTATGTAAGTGTCGTATCGAATATCATGTCCATCATCGAAGCCATTATTATTTGAGGGTATCAAAAGCTTCGTTCCCCTAAAACTATAGTTCTCTGCTGATGGGGAAGGCGGC